GCAATGCTACAATGCAAGACTAGTAAAAGTTCCAGTTCTAGTAACAGATCCATTAACTGGCTCGAACAACACTAGCCATGATGCTTAAAGGCAGACTATCAGGACATCTTGCCCATATAATAGCGATTTTTCTTTGTATTTGACAACATACAACATCATACAACATACTTGCTGGAGACCATTCCAATTATCCACCAAACAAACAGCTGTTATAAAACACAAAGCACTGCTCTAAGCATAACTTTGTGCCAGATGACAACCATCTAGGGAAGGGTGATGGCAAGCTGACCCCTCAATGGAAATACAAAGAAGTTCATTGATTAACGTCATGATCGTATCCCACAAAATAAGAGCATGCATCACACTGAGGAGGAAAAAACACTAATAAGATGAAGTTCTGGACGACCTCATCGCGAACTGTGGCTGCGCCTGCCAATTGGAAAACAGGCCTGTTAACAGCACAAAGAAGCTTTATATGCCACGTTTAGGGCCACATAAACAAATTCCTTAAAGAGGTTGTGTACAAGCGCTGTCATGAAGACTTCTTGCTTAACTGAGTTTTGGGTCTCAAATCTCTCAGTTTCAGTTTACACATCCTTACAGAGGTAGAGAAACGCGTTTTCTGCAAGTGACCAGACTGCATTGTTTTAAAAATAAAATTTAAAACAAAAGAAAAGAAAATAGATAAAATTATATAGATAGATAGATAGAAAAGACATGAGAGTCATAGTGCAAATGATGCCAATTTGCAGTAATCATAAAATAAAATAAGGCAATAGCTTGAAACTGCATTTCATGATTCGCCTGCAAAAGGATCTGTTTAAAAGCAAACGCGCAACAAATCTCACAACATAGCCAATGTCTGTATTTTAACCTATGCATGGTGCAAAATAAAAATAAAGTGCAAACATGTGCAGATGTGGAGATGGATGTTGTGTTTTAGGCTGCATGCACTGACAGCAGCTCTGTGTTGAAATGACCACTAGCGTAAACAGCGCGCGAGAACAATGGCCAGAATCTGCGGGACTGTCTCCATAAATGCGCCAGCAAATGTAACATACCCCCATGCATGTCAACTTCCCCCTTAAACTCGTGCATATGCATGTGGAGATTTGTTGCGATTCATTTCGAAACTGTAACAATCAATGAGGACTATTATTTCACTGGCAGTCCCAATCAAGAGAGCCTTATTTTCGACAAGCTTAGTGCAAACCAGAAATAACGCCTGAAAGACTCTATAATGCACGTAAAATTCTGAGGAGCGAGCAAATCTAACATTTAGACTGTCACTGCGTATGATGTAAAAATATCACCACAAAAAAACATCGTATAATAAACCTGTTTACCTGTTAGAGCAACTGCACTCCACAGGGCGCCGCCATCTTGAACACCTCACAACCCCTCCCTGCGCGGTCCCCATCCGCAACTGTGTAGGAGAAATAATCCCCGAGCGCTCAAAAACACGCCTGTATCTGGAGGCAGAACATTGTTGTATGACGTGAATATTCTCAGAAATGACCAGCAGGCATACTTTATAAATACAGTGAATTGTGGTGGGAGTAAGACTCATGTATGAAAGTTTTAGAGAATCCTGCAGCTAGGCCCTAAGTTGTTTTTCTGAAGGGTGGAGGGATGCAGCGCTCTGTAATGCGGTTTTCGCGTGACTCAGGTGGCGAGCGGAGACGCTGAATCGGACCAGCAGTATAAACTATTTACATTTAAAATATACTTAAAAAACATACATACATACATACATACATACATACATAAGAGTGAAGAAAAAGAAAGTAAACTAGCTTAAAATCTAAATATAGGCTAAATTTTTTTTTTTTTAAGTAGGCCTATAGGCTACCATGCTACTGTTTCCTAAATATAGGCCTAAACATTAAACAATAAATACATTAATACATAAGGGTGAGGAAAACAAAATAAACTAGGCTACCTTAAAATCCAAATAGGCCTATAATAACTATTTAAGTGTAAAAATCACTTTTTCCTAGCCTAATAGGCCTACAGACCTACAAAAATAAATAAATGAGGAAAAAAGAAAGTAAACTATAGCTTAAAATCCAAATAAAATAAACTAGTGAAGGATTTTTAGTAGCTAAATAAATAAACGACTGAACGATAGAAAGATCGAATGAATTAATGAATGAGGGTGAGATAAACAAGCTAGCTTAAAATCTAAAGGCTAATAAACTATTTACATTTAAAATGTATTTTTCCTATACATAAATAACAAAAAAAAAATGTAAGGGAAAAATTAAGTCAACAATAGCTTCCAGTTATGGCGATAATCATAAATCGCTAAAAACAAACAAACACTTGACATACATCATGTAGGCTATTCATCCCTCATGTTATTGGAAACCCATGGGATGGCTTTCTTCCATTAAACACAAAAGAAGATGTAAAGCAGAAAGACAAGCCTCACTTGAAAAATTACTTTCATTTTAGTAGCCTACATTTTTCCCCATTTAACTGAAGTGAATTGTGACTGAGACTGTTATTGATTCTGTCAAACATCCACATTTATATTCCAATGAAAAAGTTTTTTTACGGGGTTTTGTAATCACATGAGGGAGAGATACTACGAATTGATCGTTCACAGCCTTATCTGTTCATTAGACTCATAGTTATCTCATTTTACAGTAATGTTTAATTCCGTACACTCGTCTCTGCTTCTGCTTATCAAAAAGAGCATGAATATAAGAAGTGAAAAATAACTTATACGGAGTTGGCCTTTTAATGCAAGTTGTGGTTTAAATGTTCTGGATGAGACTGTTTTTTAGTGGAGATGTCCCTCTAGTGGTTAATCACGGTCACAGACCTCTGTTTAATTACAAAGATGTCTTCTCTTCCCTCAAAATAGTAGGCTACAAATTGCCTGGCTCATCTTCAGTTGATAGTGTTTCCCTACTATGCATGTCCTTTTTGTTAATCTCTGATAGTAATATGGCTAATGTGTATTTTACAGTTTATAGGTCCCCTTTTGTGTAATTCCTAGCAACATTGTTAAATAGGCTATCACTGACTATTAGGCTATAGTTTTTATTAATATTTTGGAGTAGTTTTTATTTGTATATTTTCATTTTTAATGTTGTTGTGTGTTTTGTCCTTTTTCGTTTTTTTTGTTGTTGTGTGTATATAGGCCTAGACCTAGTTTAATTAGGCCTTTTTTTTTTAGTAAAACAAAATGAAAATGAAAAATGTTTGCAACTAGCCGAAATAAAATAACTTTGTCATACTTTATTTCAGTTTACGTTTATTTTATTTCAAATAACGAAAATGTTTTTATGGTTTTAGTTTTCTATAATAATTTTCACCCTTGAGATTACAAGCTGTTATCTTTAAATCGCTATATTTATATTTACAATTAAAAAATGTTTAGCAGAGGATGGTTTCGATCCATCGACCTCTGGGTTATGGGCCCAGCACGCTTCCGCTGCGCCACTCTGCTGCGTGGCCAACAATGTAGAAATAATGGAATTAGTTTACGTGTATTTCATTTCAAATAACGAAAATGTTTTATGGTTTTAGTTTTCTATAATAACCCTGGTTGTATTTTCACCCTTGAGATTACAAGCTGTTATATTTAAATCGCTACAAAAAAAAAAAAAATTAGCAGAGGATGGTTTCGATCCATCGACCTCTGGGTTATGGGCCCAGCACGCTTCCGCTGCGCCACTCTGCTACGTCGCCAATGATGCAGAAATAGTGGAATTAGTTTACGTTTATTTCATTTCAAATAACGAAAATGTTTTATGGTTTTAGTTTTCTACAACAACCCTGGTTGTATTTTCACCCTTGAGATTACAAGCTGTTATATTTAAATCGCTACCAAAAAAAAGATTTAGCAGAGGATGGTTTCGATCCATCGACCTCTGGGTTATGGGCCCAGCACGCTTCCGCTGCGCCACTCTGCTAGATGGCTTACGCTGAAGAAATAGCGACTCTTAATGGTAATGATCTTTAGCTATAAAAACAAAATAGCCATAATTTGTAACTTTAATGCATGTTTGAGCTCTCAGCAAACGTTCACTATTTTTTTACAAGGTGAAGCACGTTAAAGAAACAATAAAATAGAAAAGAAAAAATGCAACTCTTATGCGCTCCTATAAGAAAGAATTTAGTTATATTTTGAAGTCACCTGAAAATGAGCTGCAGTTCACCACCAATTCCACACGGGGGCGTGTAAATACATTAATCGAAATACATTAATGCGCGCGCACAAGGCAATATAAAACTGATCCCGGTAAATCTTTAAATGAAAATTATTAAATGGGCAAAACGCACCAGGATTATAGACACTCAATAAATACACATTTAAGAGTCTTCCAGCGCTTAGTTTAACAAACAATGAATTGTTAGCCTAGTTGTGCTTTTAATAATCAAAGATAAAACGCCTAAAGCTGCAACCAAAACACAACTGTGCAAATAAAAGTAAGCAAACATTCTGAGGTACCAACATTACAGGTTTGGTGTGTTTTTTTGAGGGGTACGTTCAAGCAAAGTTTGTTGCTGGTTTAATGGTTTTATGTTTAAGCCCGCAAGATGTTTTACAGGAGTCAAGTCAACAGAATGATGACCAATAACAATGATGCCAAATTACTAAATTGGCAGCAGATGATTTGAGAAAATGTTTGACAAAATATCACGAACCTTTAACGCATTGCTCTGTTAACCAATTAACCCCTTTTATGCTCCATATAGCAGTTGAGATGCGGTCTAATAAAGGCTACAGCCTCCCCCTAATAAAATAATATATCGGCCTGCAAATGTAAACAAATATTCTAACTATCAATTTCAAATGAAATGATAACTAATAGTTGTTAAAATATCTTAAATATAGTTTGCCATTATGTCAAATAGTGCCTAAACCAGGATGTGTTTGCGTTTTGTAGTCAAATGTCGCACCTGCTCTGCCTGTAATTGGTTGAAAGCTCAGTCAGATTCCACCGCAGAATTATCGGATTGAAAATCAGGGAGGGGAGTTGAAAAAAAAACTCAACGCAACCAACTCACAGAGATGCAGTGCTTAAGTTTCTAAACATCACAACGGATTTCCCTGCACTTTTCATCACGAAGTTTGCGGAAACCATCAAAGGACTTTAAACATAATTGTTTCAGGATCTACACCATTTCAGGTAGCTGTTTTCATATTTATAATACATTTGCAATTAAAATCAGTTATTTAAAAGTTTTGTAACATGTAAAAGTTTTTTCAACCTCAAGTATATTATTATTAAAATATATTTATATACATATTTATATTTAAATAATTCTTATTTAGTATATTCAACAATAATTTGGTATATTTAATATAACATGTTATAAAATTGTCTCAAACCAGAACAAAGTTCGACTGAAACTTTCAAAACATCAACAGCAACACAGTATTGTAGCTTATAATAACTGTATACTGTATATTTTCACACTTTTTTTTAGACACAGAAAGGAAAATTATCTTATTACAAGAGCATTGAGGTTGTTGTTTTTTATTTTTATGAAATGACTATGTCATCAAACAGGGTAGCTATATTTCTCATTTGTATTTAGATGGATAATTTTACAGTTTTGTTATAAGTTTTGTAATAGTTATGGAACATGTTATCATACAAATATGAAAATGGAAGTATCACAGTAAACAAATCTCATTTTACAGAATCATGCCACGATCGTTTTTGGTGAAAAGTAAAAAGTCCTACAATGTGCACCGACCCATCGACACGGAGCAAAGTGAACAGAAAGTCCCGGACCCAGCACCCAAAACAAGTAAATGCCATTATTATATTTCATAAATACTGAATTTATACTGAAATGCTCAGTAGGTTTTATTTTATTTTAACTAGACTTTCAAGTTCCCCTGTGTGCATCTGACATGAGACGAACAATCTATATATGATTCAAATTTTGTTTGTTTTTGGAGGTTTAAATTCATTCTTCATAATTCGAAATCTCTTAATTCTCTTATTTGGGGAAATAAATGATTCAGTGAGTGGTGAGTGGATGTGCTGAGCACCTGTCAGATTGATGTTTGCTGATGCTTCAGCCTCAGGCTGACTGTTATTTGATTCTAGGGCTGTGTCTCAAAACCTTGACAGCTGCTTAGACAGCATTTTGGGCCTCATTTGTGCTCTTTATGGAGGTATAGCTCAATAGGCTGTATTCCATGGAAGTTTGTAAACTGTCTAGCGGTTAGGGTGGATGTTACGAATTATGCAAACTAGGCCTATTCAAACAAGAGAGCAGTACTGTCACTGGATTATAACTGTTTTTTAGGGTTCATTTAGAGAAAATATAGTGTTAGGAACAATCTCAGATCTGTCAGTCTCATGCTACCACAGGGTTTTTTATGTACACACACCTCTAATACTCTTATTTAAAGTGCCTTTAGAGAGGAGATGCCTGAGTGAAACATTTGGCTGGCTGGATGAATAATATTTGGATAGCTCAGCGAGTAGCCTATTAAAAATATATGAACGCTTTTGCATAATAATCTCACTGCATTAGAAAACAAAATATAAAACCAAGTGGCATTACATTTTAGCTCATGTTTGAAGCAAAACAAACTGAGTTCATGCATCCCAGTGATCATTATTGCAAAAAAGCCTTGAAAAGTATAGTTAGTTCTGAGATCAAATCTATGATATATATATATATATATATATATATATATGTGTGTGTGCATCAGATACAACTTGGTTTAAAAAAAAATAAAAATCTAATACACTGACATTCAGACATATTTATGTGTGACCTACAGAGTGTTTAAAAACTTTTTATGGAAACCATATCATGGTTTAATATTTTAATACATTTCACTTTGATTGCTGTTGTTACAACCTGCAACCTTGTAACACACGCATTTTACGATCATTGTGATTTCTTAGTCCCAGCGCTGGTCCCTTTGGAACCAAAGGAACGCAATTCCCCAGAGCGGCCCCAGGTAGATTCCCTCACTCGACCTTCCCACAGAGACCCGTATGACTTCATCAAGTGTGAGCGAGAGCCCGACTGCCCAGTACCATCTCTACCTGAGCTGTCCGTCACAACCAGACGGCCGTTTTACTTATCTGGTGAGTGTGGCGGTGCACTGGCATACATATCTGCGTGTGTAAGGCACAAAAAATAACATATTGTTAAGTATCATGTGACATCTCTAGGGCAGATTTAGACACAATAACAATCATCATCTTAATGATTTCACTGCACCTCCAACAGAGCCTCAGTTGGCAGAGTTTCCTTCCTACTACAAGAGCTCTTATGCCTGGGATCACGTTCCCACTACATATGACTTCAGGCAGATGGGCTTCCCTCCATCGCTCCTGCAGCACGCCAGCAGCCTGTACGGAGCTCATCTGAAGCAGAGCTCGGAGACTCCACAGCCACTGGACTGCAGCACACACTACTCACCTACGTCTAACACCTACCACTGCATTACCTGTGATAAGGTAAGATCATTTTATTTATTTATTTATTTATTTATTGTTTATTTGTTATGTATGTGTATTTTTATTTTAGTATTTTTTTGGATTCTTTTAAAAATATATTATTATTTTAAAATATTAAAATTTTCAATAAATTTTATTTTAAATATTGTTTCTATTTTAATGTTTTCTAAATAAATTATAATACACACACCATATCTATATTAAAATTATTTTATATCTATATTTTAAATTATTATATCTAGATAAAAATAAACTATTACATTTTGTTTATGAAAATTATAGGCATTATATATATATATATATATATATATATTAGTGCTTTCAAATCGAGGAATGGAATCGCTATTAATCACATCTAACAAAAAATGTTTTGTGTGTATATAATAATATTTATATATATTTTATGTGTATATATATATATATATATATATATACACTACCGTTCAAAAGTTTGGGTTTACGATTTTAAATACTTTTAAAAGAATTCTCTTCTGCTAACCATGGCTGCGCTTATTTGATTAAAAATACAACAGAAATCAGTTATAGTATTAAATATTATTCCAGTGGAAATCAGCTGTTTTCTGTGTGAATATATAGTAAAGTGTAATTTATTCCTGTGATCAAAGCTGAATTTTCAGCATCACCAGTGTCAGTGTCTTCAGTGTCAAATGATCCTTCACAAATCAGTATATGAGGATTTGATGCTCAAGAAACATTTATTATTATTATCAATGTTGAAACAGTTGTTGGTCTGTCAGTTGTACAGTTTTTTTTGTTTTGTTTTTAGGATTCTTTGATGAATAGGAAGTTCAAAAGAACAGCATTTGTTTGAAATAGAATCTTTTGTAACATTATAAATGTCTTTACTGTCCTTGATAAATAAAAGTATTGATTTCTTTCCTCCAAAAAATAAAAATAAAATTCTCACTGACCCCAAACTTTTGAACGGTAGTGTATATATATTGATATCAATGATAACATTTAAATATTGTCTGTTTTTCAAATACATGATATATATTAATTTATTTATAAATAAAAAGAATAAACAAATATTAAAATTAGATTTTAAAAATGTAAATTATAGAAATAATAGACTATAAAAATATTATTTTTTATTGAAAATTATAACTCTCTCTATATATGTGTGTGTGTATGTATGTATATATATATATATATATTTTTTTTTTAATATCTCAATTTCATTTGTGGTTTCTGTCCTCTTCTCCAGGTGTTTTCCACCCCTCATGGACTAGAGGTTCACGTCAGGCGTTCTCACAGTGGCACACGTCCCTTTGGATGCAGCATCTGCAGAAAAAGCTTTGGCCACGCAGTTAGCTTAGAGCAACACATGAACGTCCACTCTCAGGTAAGAACAAACCATGCTGATCCAGTTAGTCCCATTGGACATCAGCTGGCATTTGGGATAATGGCTATGAAATAATGATTTTTTTTGTTGTTGTTGTTGCATTTAAAGGAAAGAAGTTTCGAGTGCAAGATGTGCGGAAAGACCTTCAAACGCTCCTCAACGCTGTCCACTCACCTGCTGATCCACTCGGACACACGGCCGTACCCCTGCCAGTACTGCGGAAAGAGATTCCACCAGAAATCCGATATGAAGAAACACACCTACATCCACACAGGTGAGAGGCCACAGTGTGTGACTGCGTGTTTGTTATGTCGTGGTTGAAAAGAGATCTGCGATAAAAAGCACATGCGGTTTAACGCCCCCTCAATAACAGTTTCCCAAAAACTCTTCCCATATTTATTTGGAAATCCATGTTATTTATACACTCATTCCATGTAAATCATTAAAACTGAATATGCTGAACAGATATTCACTTCAGATGCTGAAGTTGGCTTGCTTTCTAGGGTGTGTTTCCAAGAGCGGCACAGCTACAGATAAATCAAGAAAAGGAGATTAAACAAATGCTGTCTTGATTTGCATAGCTGGTCTTCCTGCTTTCCTGATGACTCTCGTACCTTTGCGTGTAGCAGACAGCCACTCCTGTGTTGAAAAAAAAAACAGAACAAATCTGGGTGGCACGCAAATCCATGCTTCAAGCTGTTTTTAAAGCAAGATTTGTCATTTTATTAAAAATGGTTCTGTTTGTTTGCAGGTGAGAAACCTCACAAATGCCAGGTGTGTGGCAAGGCCTTCAGCCAGAGCTCCAACCTCATCACACACAGTCGCAAACACACCGGATTCAAGCCGTTCGGCTGCGAGATCTGTTCCAAAGGCTTCCAGAGGAAGGTAGATCTTCGCAGACACCACGAGAGCCAGCACAGCCTTAAATAACGGAGGTTGCACATGGCGTGGCGGACAGCGGGGAGGAAATGAAGACCACCAATGGCTGTTGCTTGAAAAAAAAGACTCATGTTAAAGGGATAGTTCACTCAAAAAATGTACTAGCCTACATTTAAGAATAATAAAAATGACAAAAGCAGACAACAAATTTCCTTTAGCTAAAATCACTTGCTCACCCTCATGTTGTTTCAAACCTGGAGGAATTTCTTTCTTCTGTTGAACACAAAAGAAGATATTTTAAAGAATGTTGGTAATCAGACATGGTAGCCATTGACTTCCATAGTAGGGAATAAAAAGTCAATGGCCGTCTTGTAACCTACATTCTTTAAAATCTCTTCTTTTGTAAAGAAAGAAACTCATGGAGGTTTGGAACAACGACAACATTTTCATTAAGACCTTTCAATTGCTTTCAAAATGACTTTATTTTATCCAATAATACATCAGAACTGTAATCTAACAAGCAGAAAGTCCATCGAATGATTTAAATGTCCATTTTAACTATTAAATGAAATCCACATGCCAGGTACTGCCACCATGAAGGAGTCCAAACATGTCTTTCATTTTCTTTTCTTTTAGTATAAAAAGTAGTAAGATTGTATGTTAGTGTTTAGGTTGAACTTTTTTTTGTCATGTTATTTATAGAAACTCTTATCACAAAAATAGTACTAAATAAATACAATTGTTTCAAATCCGATGTAAAGTGCTTGATCAATAATTCATAACAGTGGATTTTTAAATCTAGTTGTGAGATGGAGAGAGGGGGGAGGGGTGCACGTACTGTAAATGTGTAAGAAATCAGTCCTGCTACAGTGAAAAATGAGAAGAGTCAGCAAACAAGGCTTTGCAGTGTTTGTCTTCTTGTGTCTCCGCCCTGTCGAGGATCCGGATACACAGTTCCGTTGGCCCTGCCGATGGCTCTGCACACTGCCGGAGGCTGTGTGAAATCTCTGGTGTGACTGGAGATAAAGCTTCATTCAAATAGGTACCTGGAACTCTACATGCAAATCTCCTGCCTGGCAGGTTTGTAAACTTCATGTGTCTGAACGTATACGGTCCCTGTGGGCCAGAGCTTGGAAGGAAAAGGCAGTGCAGCGAAACAAAGAAATTTATATTTATGAACGGGATGATTCCTGTGATTAAACTTTGACCAACTGGGACTTCTTAGTCTTAGTTGTGCAAACATTTAGCCTACAAAAACTCAGAGATTTACTGACGTCTCTTCTCAGGTCACTCCCCATCAGTGGAGTTCCAGCTGCTTTGCCAAACAAATTCCTATACCGACACAGCTTTGCGCACACCTCCCCTCTCAAACAAAAGAGACAGTTAGGAAAATCCAATCCATTTACACCGTACTGCAACATAAATCACACATTACACATCTCTGTGGTTCCCTCAGAATGCTAAACAGTGGGTATCACCTGATCACAAAAGAAAAACAGGACAGGTATGCGCAGTCATTTAGGAAAGAGGAACTTATTGAGAAAAAAGCTGAAGAAAGTTGATCAGAAATCTCATCACTTCCACTGCTGACCTGTTCCCCATCTGCGCTCTGCACACCTGCTCGCCTGTCTGAAAAATTAGGAACAGAAATCAGTGTCCGCATCAGGGTGGAAATAGTGCCTCTCTAGTACAGTTGGTAAACAAATCTGTGGTGCCTATGCAAATTATTATTTTCATTACCTCAGCAACAGGGTCTGAGTCAGACCGAGGACAGTTACAGCCACATCCTGGAACAAACAGTAAATCCAATAGCAAATCACAATCATGCTCAGGGAGCCAATCCGTGTCAGATTTGGATGACAGACAATGTAGTAGCAAACAGGATTTTAGGACCAAGACAAGAGGGTGGGGTGTAGCCTTGAATGGAGAAAAGGGGAAATGAAGGGGCAAGCACACACCTGAGTTCCACTTCCTCTTTTTTGTGTGTGTGTGTGTGTTGGTTTTGCATGATTTTGTAAATCAGAAAACTGTTTGTCCACCATTTACACAACAGTGCACTAAGAGTAATTTCTCATTATGAAAATTAAACAGGTTTTGGTATAACGCCACGTAGCTTACACCTTAAGTAACAACATACACTTTTCATCAAAACTTTGGACACACCTATTCTTTCAATGAGGTATAAGAGACTGTGTTATACTGGGACAGACAGACAGACAGACAGACAGACAGAGAGACAGGCAGACAGATAGATATAGTTAGGTGGATAGAAAATGTATATATAATGTTTCTTAAAATATAATTTTAAAAGTTTCTTATGCTTACCAAGGCTGGATTTAGTTCCTACAAACAGTAATATTGTGAAACATAATTTTCATATAATCATCATCATCCGTTTAAAATAACTTTTTTATATGTCATTTATTTCTGTGATGGCAAAGCTGAATTTTCAGCATCATTACTCCAGTCTTCAGTATCACATGATCCTTCATAAATCATTAATATGCTGTTTTGGTGCTCAGGACTTTATTATTATTATTATTATTATTCACAAGAACAGATTTGGAAAATAAATCTTTTGTAACATTACAGAAATGTCTTCACTATCACTTTTGATCAATTTAATGTATTCTAGCTGAATAAAAGTATTTATTTCAAAATTTCAAAATATCACTGACCCTAAACTTTTGAATGTATATAGACCTTAATCAACAGAGGAAAAAAGAGCACAGCCATCTTTAGAATTTTGTGTTCGAACTTCCGTTTTTGCAGTCGCTTTGTATGTTTCTGAAGTGGATTTACTTAAAGGGATAGATCACCCAAAAATGAAATAATTGTCGTAATTTACTCACCCTCATGTTGTTCCAAACCTGTGTGTATCCAAACCACCCTCATGTTGTTCCAAACACACATATATGTTCTGTTGAACCCAAAAGAAGATATTTTAAAGAATGTTGGTTACCAGACAGTTGATGGTAGCCATTGACTTCCATAGAATTTTTTATTCCTAGTCAATGGCTACCATCAACTTTTCGATTACCAACATTCTTTAAAATATCTTTTGTGTTCAATAGAAGAATGAAATTCATATAGGTTCGGAACAACATGAGGGTGAGTAAATTCATTTTTGGGTGAACTATCTTTTTAGAGTTAACATGACAAAAAGACAAAAGTTATCATGAGCATTGTAATGTTTGAAGCGGATGTCATAACAAATGTCATTAGACCGGGAAGGTTTTAAAACGAGCGATTCATTCATTAATCCGTAAGATCTTAACTTCGTGCAGTGGAAATACAAACCGGAAGACAGATGAAAAGGGGCGGGGTTACATAAGGTCAAAAAACTTTTGCCTATGTAGGTCTTTATCTTTAACTGCACATTGTCATATGAAAAACCCTTAAGTGCCTAACGTATGGACACTAATGATCGTTCAGTAAGAGATTCAATCAGATGTTGATTCAGTAACCGCTCTGACAGATCCAGGGATTCACAGAACTCAACCGACTTCTTAACCTGTTGACTGTCATCCCCCTTTCTGAGTGTGGAACTGAATTTAAAGGTTGTAATTCATGAAGACACTCAGCAGAGTTTCAAAAAAGCACGTCAACAAATGGAAGTGTAAAAAAGCTAAAAGTTTAAAGCAAATGTACTGAACTTAACTTTTCTTATTTTATACAATATTTATATATTGCAAAATAATTTGGACTCTAAAATCGGTAGAAAATCAAAGCCTAACCAAGTTGCATTCCAAATTTGAATTTGATATCTAAAAAATTGAGCCCGCTAAAAGGTTTTAAAAAGTATACCGTTTCAATGGGAACACAATGTCCAATTTCAAATTATATGATGATTACTAAAATATGTGATAGAGAAAAAAGGCAGTAAAAAGTGTCCAGTTACCAGGACAAAGTTTGTTTTAAAACAGTTTTTAAATAGTCTACAGTGGAGAAAATCAGTCTTCAAAAAAAGTTTTATGAAGAAATTTATATATTATCACAAATTATATTTGTCTACAATACTGATTTCAGGAATTTACACGCAAACCTCATCGATCATGAGATAATGAGAAACAAATTCATTTAAGCATGTATAAAGTTTGATTTGAATCTTTAAATATATTCCAATGAATCATACCCACCATATGTTAAATTCACTCAGCTTTTGCAGCTGTTTTGTGTTTGTAGAAACAGTTGATTCAGAATTAATTGTCAGGAACAATAAAGAGATGTGCCTTAAGATATTTTGGACTGGCCGACATCATAAAAAAAAATAAAAAAACTTCAATAGGTCCGCTGCCAAAAGCTGTTAAAGCCTGCAGGCAAAAAGAGAAATTTGACCTATAGTGTACATCAGTCCGCTCGTATAAACAATGTCAACACATCCACACTGAACCAATACATCAGCACAAAATATGACACATACTCCAGACACATAAATTCATATATATATGCACAGAAACATTCACAAAAGGTCACAACATCTTCCAAGATTACAAAAGCAGAGTGGTAGAGCGAAAGGGAGAAAACAGGGAGGGATGAAGAAAAAAAGATAGAAGGAGAGAGATTTGCTTAACAAATGAGCAGATATGCAAATCACTCTGACTGCGCTTGCCTGAGGCAAAGCAGCAGTCGACGGTGTGAGCGCAAGCAGAGACCTTATCACAGAAAAGACTATCATAAATGAAAATGATCACATTAGAAAATAAAGACTTGAGCTTTCAAACTGACTGATTGTGTAGCAGAGCATGACAAAATGGCAAAAAAAAAAACAGCTTTGGCAAAACATTATCTTTGTTATTTACAAAAATGAACTTTATATGCTGCTTTTTTGTGGATTTTTAGAAATACATCACCCATTTTATGTTCACAAAAGCAAGAGAAGCTCCTAAACAGCACTACAAAGGTTTCCAAAGAATCTAAAAGTAGAAAACATAAAACAAACACAGAAAATGAATCGTGCGGAGAAATATATTTACTTTAAAACATGTTTGGTTGAGTCATCTTGCTACAGATGCAAAAAAAATCATATTTATTTTAAAGTCTTTCTTTTTACAGTATATGGAAATCATGTGTTTGAGCATAAGAGTATATTTACAAGTGCTTGCAAATGCAGTCATGCACAAAGAACTGAGCATGAACGGTTTTGTGTCTTATGAGACCTCAGTCCATATATTAAACAGCGCTACAGGCGCGTCTCAAATAAAGGGCCTGTCAGGGAGTTTTATGGGTTTGGAGATGAGGAGAAGACGCAGATAGACAGCTGGCACGTCACGCCAAGAGCGGAGCGATGACACAGCAAGGCCGGAACCACACAGATTAGAGTGGGACACCACCAGATAAGGGGCAATCATTATTTAAATCCACTCAGGGGATTATGCATGTGCCTAACTAAAGATATAGCGAAACCAAATGAATGCTTTTATATTGCAAAAGTGTCCTGATGTTAGTTTGTCCTTGTGCATTTGCTTGTGCAATGCTGAGTGTCATATGATCTCATATGATTTTGAGGGGACAGTGAAGTTAAAAATAAACAAATAGGATCAAATAGGATTTTCTAATTATAAAAATCTTTTAAAAAACTGTTCTACAACACCTGAGCCAAGGTTTTAGAAATGTGTTGGCTATGTTGGTGTCATGGTTTAGAAAGTTTTTTTGTACCATTTCCAAGAAAAGTTTAATGATTCTAAAAATGTCAAGTTAAAAGTTAACATTTTCTACTAACATTATCCTTTAAGATAGTGCACACATATTGATGTGTACAATCTTAATTCTCAATTTAAAAAAATATGATTTTAATGTATTAAGTATTTATTATTATTATTACTATTTTATACAAATATAAAGACTTACTAATTCATAAAAATTAACTTTTAGGAATTCGCACCACATGATATTTTACAACCTGAACTAGACTCAAAATATCTCAAATGAATGTAATGAATAAAAGTATACATACATTTTATTTTATAATTATTTATTACTTTTTACAATTATAAAGACTTTTTAATTTATATATTACATTTGGGGGAGTCGCACCACATGACATTTTACAACCAGAACCAACCTCGGCTTGTTAAAATATCTTATTAATTTAAAAGAATTATATATGCATAAATAATTATTTATATAGAATATATATCATATAATACAATATCAATATAATTAAAATAATGAATACAATTAAATAATAGTTTATATTAATATTTAAAACAATTAATATAACTATAAAATAATTGATATCATTAAATATGCTTATCGTAGAAGAGGTATATTCAAGTCACTGTATGTATGAATTGCATTTTTTTATTTGAATAAATTAGCAGATAAGATGACGAAACTAAGCATGACAACATTGACCCATAAATCAATTGCACATTAAAATCTGTTTTTTTCTTTAACCCAATGAGGTTACAATGCATGACTAAATATAAATTTCCCTCGCAAGATTAAAGGGAGCAGATCTGTTTGGCTGTGGATCCAGGAAACATGTCAGGTCACATACAAATGGCAAACCAGTGATACTGAGTGATTGACAGATACCGGCCATGAGGGGTGAGATGGTTTGAACCAAGTTCGGCGACCAGCCAGGACCAAAACTGCCTCAGACACAACAAGGATCATCAAAACGGCCTGGAGAGGAGGCAACAGAACGAGAAAGCAAAAAACACATTAGAAGTGAGCGAATGTAAAAAGGGGAGACATGGAAATTAAGTGGGAGAGGAGGAACAAACCTAGGGTTGGTGAAATCTGAAGGGAGCAGGCCTCTCAGAGCAGGCAGGGCCGTGATGGGAGCGGGATAGTCTTATCTGACCCCATCCACACTGCAACGGTCACAGCTTTCATGGCCTGCTGAGGGAGGAGCGACAGCCGGAGGAGAGAGATAGAACTGTGGACATGAGTAATCAGACAGCAACAGACAACACAACACTCTTTCTCACTCGCTCTCATAACAGCTCTATGACAGAATGTCAGTCTGTATTTTAACTCAGTCCATCCCTCCTGTTCCTCAAAGCTCAGAGTCTCATATTATGAAGAGGAAACAGGGCTTCTTATCAGACACTGGAACCAAAATGCACCAAAAATAAATCTACTAAGCTGCTCTTATAGGAAGCTGCCATCTTTCCTGATGTCATCATGACATATTGAGGAATACTTTTAAATAAGGCTCTATGGAACAAAAACATTGACATACAGACACTGACTATATAATTAAAAAATATAATAATATATATAAAAATATACAATTCCAAATTTGAAACATTAATCGGTAGCATTACCTAGTTACTTTTACATATGTTTTCCTGCATTTGCAATGTTATTGGCAATACTATTACTGTTTTACTTGAAAAGTCATGTGATCTGAAAAAAAGGGTTTCATTTAATCTATACTGAACAGTGCTATTTTTGTCAACATCTAGCATGCAAACACTGAAAACTTTTTGTTGTTTTCATCAATCTTCCGTCCATATATTTATATGAAGCAACGTACGGCTGTGCTGCCCCAATGTGGACACACATATACATTACATTATGTGTAATACAAACTCAAATGAGTTTCAAAACATTTCTGCTAAACATGCAAAATGAACAAATAAATTAAGAATATTAACTCAAATACAAGGCAGGGAAACTGCTGTGGCACCCCAGATTAAATATGAAAAGTAACATTTTGGTGGGGAAAAAAACACCATGAAGCAGCAGGTATTCATATACAGGAGGTTTTATTCAACATTTTGTGTATAAACATAGGCCGCAAATGCCTTCCAAACGTTTCAGTCTGCAGAATTCATTATCTATTTGTACAGTCCTATAACCAGAACATTAAGATATTAGCAATAATAAATAGTGACAAAAACCTTAAGAGGAAAAGGGGAGAGCATCCATAGCCTGTCCCAGTGGCTGTCCAGCATGTCTTCATTTGTTTAAAGGCAAGATTTCAAAATAAATCATCAGGACATTACAATGGTTGACAGATGGACCCCTTGCCGTGCTGTCATGACCAATCATTTCAAAACTGTTATACTTCGTGGATACAAATAAATCCGTTTCTTGCATAATGCAATATCAGACTGCAGAGAGTGTGATGTTTATAGACGTTTCTCACTGTGTGTGATACAATCTCATTACGTTGAAAAGAAATGATCACATTAGTCTTTAAACGATGTGCAGTGCAAAGAAATTGCTTCTCAAATATCATGCGCTGTATCACTCCCATTGAACTGGAGCATATGTCCAATATTTCTAACCCAGTAACATTCAACAACCTAAATAAGCACATTAAATAAGCAATTAACACAACTGGAATGCTTCGAATCACCTAATGCCTTCTGATAGCAACAGATCACAGTTTATGAGTTTAAGAGTTTCATTTTACAAGAAGAAAATCGGGGAAATCTCTAGAAGGAACCACATGTGATGCTGTAAAATTATGATTATTAATATCTTTTATGCTGAATTCAGTTCGGACAGGTGCAAGATACAGGAAATGTACATTGAGTGCCGACAATCCGAGAATAGGACAGATGAGATAATGGGAACGCACCTTTACTGGACACGGTAACGGAAAAAGACGGCGGATTAACAGAAATTCCTTTTCAATTGCTAAACCCCTTTTTGTATATATGACACAGACTTCAAAAATCCTTCTACAGTAGCCAGAATTTGGTTTGACATTACAACTCAAACACACAAACAAACAACACTTATCAAACTTAAAAAAACAAACATAAAAAACACTTTTAAATCAAAAAACATGCCTGCATGTTAAATAATGTAACTAAAGCACCTTTAACTGAAATAATAATTAAGAGCACTCATTTTTACTGATATGATTAACAGAAATGCTATAAAGACAGAATACCTGTATTGTTCCTGTACTGCATCGTTCTTGGCGTCCATTATTAACCCTTCCTTCATTAAACCATCTGACAGGACTCAAGGATAACAGTTTGTGCTATATACAGCATTGTGTTCTTACCTTCAAAGGGATAGTTCACCCAAAAATGAAAATTCTGTCATCATTTACTCACCCTCAAGTTATTTCAAACCTGTGTGTATCCAAACCACCCTCATGTTGTTCCAAACACACATATGTTCTGTTGAACCCAAAATAAGATATTTTAAAGAATGTTGGTTGATGGGCACCATTGACTTTCAAATAATTTTTTATTCCTAATCAATGGCTACCATCAATTTTTCGATGAATGAGTTTTTCTTCTGTTGAACATGGAGATAATTTGAAGAATGTGTGTAACCAAACAGTTGATGGTCCCCATAGACTTTCATAGTATTTTTTTTTTCCATACTATGGATTGATTCAATGATTTAAAAACATCTGTTTGGTTACACACATTCTTCAAATACACACATTCACTCATTCATATCTTCTTTTATGTTCAACAGAAGAAATAGACTTATACAGGTTTGGAACAACTTGATGGTGAGTAAATGAAGACAGGATTTTAATTTTCGGGTGAACTATTCCTTTAATGTCTTACGATGAGACAGAGAGGCACAGCTGTATGGTTCTCAGCGAACATAAACCACAGTGTGCAGTGAAGCCAAAGCACGCTAAAAACCTTTGTGTTTGGTCAACTCTCAACACTAGATATACGGCAGGGGAAACGCTAGTATTGTGTGCTATTCTCAGAGCATCTTCAAATCCTGAACGGATTCAAAAAGAAAGGAAAAATAAGAGGATATGTAAGGAATCTACAGTACTTCATTACACAGATAAGTTAGCGATAAATGTAGACATACTCTGAAATGATGTTGATATCTGTCCCCAAATAAATAATCATAATTATTCTATATGTATTACATAAAAACTTAGAATAAAGAAAAATATATTGACCCTTTTGGTTATGTACTTAGAAATTTATGAAGGTTTATCTCTCTCCCAAAATATGAGGGACAGATCTAAAATACAAAAGCATAATGAAACACAATGTTTTTAAACAGACTCATGAATCCTTAAATATTGCTTGACAGAGATGTATGGGTCAAAAAAAAAAGAAAAAAAAAAAGAGGAAAATTAAATAATAACGAGATTTTACTCAGATCAATCTATTTTTCAGATTGTTCCTTGATGTTCTTAAATTAGAAATCACATCAACACTGACAAAAACCGAACCAAACACCATCATCTACACAGAAATCCTATTAAATTAAGTCCTCTAAATGATTGACGAACACTAAGAGAAACTAGTCATTTGACTTTTAAAGAGTCTGCAATAAGAACTATGTTGAACTCCCATGTAATTATCTATCACATAAAAGGATTTGGAGCTGGATACTGACTTGTAGCAGCACAGAAAGAGCATCAGTGACCAGTGGGGACAGACAAAATGAGGACAAACATAAAGCCAGAAGAGACAGAATTCACTGTCACCAGCTGATATGAATGACCGTTAGAGGCCCACATACAGGACACAAGAGCGTGCTCAGCGATCTGAGGAGTCACAGAATACGGAGTGAAGGTGCTGAACGGACACTGTTGTTCAGAGAAACATAGGCGGTTTACATGGAGGGTTCAGTAATATTCAAGATGTGCTCCGAGTAGAGTTCTTCAATGTTTAAAAGGGCTGAGGTGCCCCCTAGTGGCGGCAGCTAGAAAATGCGCGAAAGGCGAAGCACTCCTGCTTTTGCCCAGAAGGACGTAGCTCTTGTGCATTCCAGTGTCCATTACCTAGTGGGTGGACATACTCGCTTGCTCTCTTTCCCACTGGTGTAAAACTTACAATGAGAATAAGCACTCCTTTAGACCTCTGTGGAAAACAGGATACTCTGTCTCTTACTGTCTGGCGTCGGGATGGTCTCCAGCTGAAGGAAATACAACAGAACTTGCACCTACAGAACCAAAACAGACAGAGCATGTCAGGAGACGTGTAACTGATAAAAAACAAACATACTGTAAATGTGTTTCCCATTGCTTTCACAAACAGAGACACGATTAAATCATTTTCTGTGGTACTTGCCAGCCTGTTCATAGACCTTAATTTGTAAATAGTCAATCATGGTTTTCTTTATGGTTTCACTCTGAGCATACCTGTGACATGACTTCCAGCGACCAGCTGTCCCCCATCGTGATAGGCTGTGTGGGGTTAGTGGGGATCTTGCTGTCCTTCTCAGAGGGTCGTAGCAGGGTCGGGCCAAACACGGTGGCCAGATTGTGAAGAGACATCTTGTTTACACTCTCCTTTTCGGCAATCCTAAAAACAAAAAGAGGAAGAGCAGAAAGTGAAGAAGGAGAGAGGATTAGTGTAAAAAAGCATCTGGATGACCTGTCAAGAACATGTTCAAGCCATATTTCACCATAAAACGTGAAAAGATTAAATTCTATTCTATTCAATTCTTGGAATTGGGATGAAATTTGACCTAGATATGTTCATGGTGAGATTCAACCAACTAAATCTTTTGATTATGAAGCTAGCAGCACTCCAAGAAGGACCATGTGATGTAAACAAGCAAAATGTGCTCTGAAAACAATGTTTTTATTAACCAATCATAGCCTTAACCTTAACACTATCTTCAATCCTACCCCTAAAATCATCCAGCTTTGAATTGTTTTAAAAAAAAAAATTCATATGAATGTTCCAGAAACAATTGATGTTGATCCAGGAATCTGTCTTCCTTGTTATTAAGCCTCTGAAAACATTGTGAAAGTCATTTCAATCTGGTCTACCTCTTGAGATGATCCAGCAGGAAGAGGAAGGTGACCAGGTTGGGCTCTGGTAGAGACAGCAGGAGGTTCAGCATACAGCTCTCCTTAGCTACGCTGTCAGAGAGAGCTGCAGAGTAACAAGGACATAATCAATATAGTTCTACCTTTCAGAAGCCAAGCCTGCTCAATACTTGGCATTGTGTTTTGTAAGTAGAAACAAATGACGAACCAATGCCTCCTGCAAAGTTAGGGTACAGCTCGTCGGTGAACAGAGGCTCAGGAAGCTCCCTGAAGTACAGCTTTAGCGTTCCGGCAATGGCATTCACATCCATCTCACTCATCATTACTGACACATCTTTATTATCTGTTACAGAGAGAGAAAAAGAGGGAGATCAGCAACCAAATTGGCTGACAAAATATATATCTGTCATTGCTCCATGTAAAACACGGCGTGATGTACCCAGATCTTCAAAGAGAAGGAACTGGATGAAATATTCAGGGTCTGAAAAAGAGGTGTGTTCAGGCAACTGAAATAGACTGCGCCATTGACCAACTGAAACCTGGTCTAAAGTCAATGGCGCATTTTTTGTTATTTAAAGAGCGCATTAGTAATGTGTGCCTATAGGCGGGTCCACAGCCCGCGTACACTCTGCTTATTACACACACAGGGACTGCAGCACACAAACTAGGCAAATATTAAAAATAAAAGGATTACAATGTAAAAGATTAATATTGTGTACATAAAGATATGGTGGAATCCGGCTTGTCCCGTAGATGGTCTGCATGTGCCCTTTAACCTCACGCACGAGCGAGGTTCTTAATGACTCATTAAGAGAATAGGGACATTACTCTTTAAGAGAATTAACTCTTTCTTAATTACTCATTAAGAGAATAGGGAGAACCCTTTTGGACCATTTTGCAAAAGTGGATTTGGACACGCCCAAAGTGCACTTGCGCATTAGACCATGTGTGGTGGTTACAAAAGTAGATAAGTATTTGTAAATAAATAAGTATATAAATAGTAGTAAATAAATATATGATATGTAAGATGTGACGACAAGAGAATGTATTTCTAATACATGTTTTTTTTGTGATTATTTCTTTGACGATTAATCTTCCCTGCTCAATCGTTCGATTATTAGATTGCTTTTACCTTTTGGGAGTGTTCGCCTGCTTGAGGGAGGGGGCTCACGCGCGCTGCTCAAACAATACAGACTTTGATAAGTGAAGCAGCAGCAGCTCCGTGTCCTGTATTAATTTATACATATATCTCCCCTCATCAGGTATGAATTACATAAAAGCAATGAGAGTATGCTTTTTTGACATGTAAGTTTAAGAAATGTTAATTACATTGTTTAAAGTGTTTAAGTTTACTGTTATTACGAACATGTAAAAGTTCGCTGCAAGTCACGTCTGTGTGCGTCACGCGTGCTAGTTATAAATTTCATGCTAGTGATGGAGACCATGCGGTCTCAGAGAGAAGGCGCAATATTAGAGTAAGTCCACAAATAAGATGTGTCTTGGTGAAATAATGCAATGAGTAAGTTGTAATTGCCAAATGACTTTGAAAATGAGTGTCTGTACTAAAAATGTATCAGGAAGATTAATTCTGGCAAACATGAACACATTTTTAGGATTTATTCACGTGTAAAATGTTATATATGTGTTGTCAGTGAATATTTCATAGTACCTATGCTTAATCTGTGGACACAGTAGTAAAAGAGAAATACCGGTACTGTATATATAATTCTGTTATATATTGTGATTAGCCTACTCTTGAAGTGATGCACTGTCATTGATTGACATAAGAGTGATTGAACTGTTTTACATTGTATAAAAAACAATACAGACTCTGATAAGTGAAGCAGCAGCAGCTCCGTGTCCTGTATTAATTTATACATATATCTCCCCTCATCAGGCAGTGAGGGTACTACACATGCACTTAGATCGTTAAAATAGGGCCCACTATGTTCTGGCCAGGGGAGAACTGGCCCCCCGACTGAGCCTGGTTTCTCCCAAGGTTTTTTTCCTCCATTTTCTAGTCACCAATGGAGTTTGGATTCCATGCCACTGTCGCCTTTTGGCTTGCTTAGTTGGGGACACTTAAATGCACTGACACTATTGAATAAGAGCTGAAAAGAGATGGATGATGAAATCACTGTTTTCCACTCATTCCATAATTGATGAACTTCACACAGTTGTTGAACCAAACTAAATCAACACTGAACTGATTTTAACTGAATAATGACTGTTTACTATTGTCTTTTTAGAGCTGCTCATGAGCAGAATTGAATTATGTTTGCATCGTTGTATCATTATTTTCCTGTTCATCACTGTAAAGTTGCTTTGGAACAATCTGTATTGTATAAAGTGCTATATAAATAAAGGTGAAATGAAATGACAATGGTCACTCACTGGTGTCAAATGCAGTTTTGAGCGCTTGGATGTCAGTGGCCACTCCTGAAACACGGTAGATGCCCACTTCCTCCATTCCTCTTCTTTCAATCTCCTCTAGACACTGTCTGACTATGTAGGGCACTTTAGAGCGCTCCCGTCTGAGACAAGAAATAATAACAACATCACGAGACCAGACATTTGATTTTAATGATGATGGACAGAAACAAGAGCAACACTTCTTTTTTTACATTCAGCAAAAACAAGATATGCAAACAAAATCTAACATTTTGACATTACTCTTTGGGTTCGCATATATACTTTTTTTTCTTTTTTTTGCAGCCATTACTGCAGTCTTGATGCTTCTTATCATTTTAACATGGTGATTTGGTGCCCAATATACATTTCTTATTACTATAAATGTTGAAAACAGTAGTGCTGCTTAATAGTTGAAAGCCTGTGTTCACTGTACATTTTCATTGTATGGAAAAGAGTAGAATAATGCCTTTTGTGTTCACTACAACAAACAGAGATTTGCAATGACATGAGGGTGAGTAAATGGCAAAATGTATCATTGGATGAATTATCTCTTTAATGCTTTACATTAATCAGCGGTAGGTGCTGCTTATGTAGAGACTTTTAGTGCGCATGTTAGGGTCTAAGTTTCTGTAATGGTGTTGTCATGTTGTCTTTAAAACATTAATTGGTTCTGCCCTTAAACCCATTAGGAAGCTCATTACAGACAATCCTCATTACTGTCAATCAAATCAGACCATAAACACTACACAGAAAAAGGCAGTTCTATGAAGCCTATCATTTTCTGTATATTCTAATTTCCTTTGCCACAATGAATGCCTAAACAATAAACATGCAAAATAAAAGCATCAAAATGTGTGTGCTTTAAGCTCCTTTTTGTAAAAAGGACCAAATTATTTTCTAGTGTATGTCTAATCCTCATGTAAAATGTGTGCTGACTCACTTTGTCACTGAGGAGATATTTACTCCAAACACACCCATGGGCTTCCGTGAGGGCATTCTCTTCAGGCTGAACTCCCGGCTGGTGAACTTCATGGATATTTTCACCTCAATCTTCAGAAAAAGGTGTATATTTAGTAATTATAGAGATAGATGGTAGGATTACAGCAGAGGAGCAGATGTGGATATACTCACCCCATTCATAGGGATAACCGTTCTCTGCCAGTCTTTACCCTGGAGCATCTGAGGATCCAACTGGATAAGAAACAGAAAAAGTTAAATACAATGGGATTTACAATATGAACTCCAACAAAGACATGGAACATTTGTCTTCGCTGTGATCAAGAGGGCTGTTCTATTGGCTACACGTGTGTCTTTATCTGTTATATACACCACAGATGTTATCAAGGGCCTGAAGTGATGTGAACATTTTTCATAATGCCAGTTCTCATACAGCAGTTTTGCACATCACCAGCCAATTTCCATGATCCCTCTAAGCAAACGTGGGGCCATCTGGAGTGGGCCAAATTCAGCATGTTCCTTTCCCTCATCCTGGCCTAATCTCCATATGGTCTCGTGTAAGGCCTGATCCTGCTCTGCTATCTAATCTCATCATCTCAGTCATTACAACCTGTCTGTCAACAGGGCAGGGAGAGAGAGTGAGAAGCCCGGCCAAACACCAGTGCCAACTAAGGTCATTAGAGCTCCAATGGCTAACTGACCCCACCCACACATAATAATTTATATATATATAAAAATGTGAGAATGCTGACATGAGTGGCAATATTTGAAAGTTATAATATTACCTTTTGGTACATTTTGACTTATGGCTTGAAAAAAATAATATTAATTATAATGAATAGAATAATATTATCATTATTTCGGCTTGAAAAATATTTGTAAAAAGTTTATTTTTATTTTTATTATTATCCAGATTATATAGGAAGCCAGAGTAGATGAGAATATGAACCACAGGAGATGATATTACCATTGACATTTCCAAGTTGACCGAAATAAATTGTAAATAAAATATTGTATTCATGATAACCAAACAATTGGGGAAAAAATCATTAAAACTGATCGACAAATAACATGGATTTCTCTCAACATCAAAGTGCAATATATAATACAATACTTAAAAAATTATGAACACAAAGTGTTTTTTTTTGTTGTGTTTTTACAAATATTTCATGTAGTCTCTCAATATAAGGCTATAAAAATGTATGCATTCTAATTTTTTATATTTTAGATGAAGTATATCATGTCACACTGCAGGACACTACTAATGACTGCTTAAACATTTACCCATATACAACTGTTAAACTGCTTATTATGATTGAATACAGTTCCCTCTCAACAAACAACAATCTGTAATTTTTCCCTCTCTTTACCTTTCTTCTGTGCAGGACATTCTGTACACGGCACCATAACCCTGTTCCTTTGCCTGTCAGGGCAGTTTGCGTGGAAATGTCTACCTCTACACCCTCCACCAGCCCCACATCACAGTCCTTGAAGGGTGGAGAGCAGCTCCTGCCCTCCTCAGCCAGCCCTACCACCGCATCTTCACTCATCTCCTTCCCATCTACGACTGTGTAGAAACTGAGCAGAGATCTTCAGCTGGAACTGGAAATCCCTTAGGATGTGGTGTAATGTGGACCTTGAGGATCATCCTTAAGGGTTATATTTGTTCTTAAAAGATCCATTGCTGCAATTCAACAATGAGCTATTGTCGTCAACTCAAATAACTCAGAAGGTCTACAATATCAGATAAAGTGTTTTTAACAACAATAAATCCTCAGTCTGGTGCAAGTGTTGAGCTATAGAGATCCAATTACTCACTGCAAATGCATCCAGATTCTTCAAGAGTTCCCAAATCTACTGCTGTTCACTGAAGGATCTATTTTCCTCTTATTTCATTATTTACTGTCTCGACTCTCGACACCGTTTCCTTGAGTAAATCTGCATAACTGTCTTTTTCTGCACCTCAAGCCCAGAGTAGATGATCCCTTGACTTACCTCAGTCTGAGTAAGCTGCCCTGCCCTGCCCATAAATCCCTCCATAGCCACTAACATCTAGTGCACCAAACAGAGCAGGTTTATACTGCTGCCATGCAGTGTTGTCATAATTTATGTAAATGAAATAAATTTAAATCTAAAATAAAAGCTAACATAAAAAAACCTGAAAAAAATATTATTGAAATTGTCTAAAACAAGTCTGCTTTCAGAACCACAGAGGGATCATAGCACAGCCCAGACACTTTCAACCAATTGCATCTAAACCTAGACATTACAAGCAACTTTTTGTAAGGCAAAAGAATTTTGTGCTCTTTGTATGATCCCACAAAACTCTCTGGGGAGGGGACTGATAGGTCAGCTGATCTGACGTTTTTTTTGGTTGTGACATTTTCAGACAGGACACATGAATTATGGATGATTTGATGCCTTAAAAGCCAGAGCAGAGTGAATAACACCCTACCTATTAAAAAGAAGATTAAATGTCTGGAGTATAAAGGCCAGTCCCCATCTGGGACCATGTCTCTCATAAGAGCAGATATACCTTTGACCGGACTCACTGAGTGCCCAGATGGAGAATGGCACTTAGCTCACAATAGTTTACATGAGAGCCAAGCAAATTTATCCCCGCAACGCACCTGTTTAACCAGTAGGAATTTGCCAATTTGATATATTGATGTCAACAATATATAGGCTAAATAACTACAAAATACACACAAACATATTAGTTGACCTCACTAACTAAATAGTGGGGGTGACAAATGACTAGTCGACCATCCATCCAATTTTTGGTTTAAAATGTGTATACTAAAGGCCTGGGTGGTAACTAAAACTATCATTTGTGTTAATTGAAATAAAGTTGAAATAAAATACAATAAGATGAAAAAAAACCATCAGATGAAATATTTAAACAAAAATGAAAGTGTTGCCTTAGCAACTAACTGAAACAAAATAAGTTTAAGTATTAAAATTACTCGAATATGACAAAATAGACAAAAGGACATAAAATAATAAATGAAAACAGCAATTATAAAAATAAAAGCTAATTCAAAATATGATTAAATACTTCTCAATAAAATAACAATGGCAAAATGTTTGTTGCAGAGTTTATGCAGTGGACTGTAGATCATACCGCGATTTGTCCTTTGCCCATAATTCTATCCGTGCTGTCTCCATCCTCCCTGTTCATCTTGGCTTTGTTGTAGCTCTTTTCGTAACACAGTAGACGTAATGTGTGGGAGCCCTCCAACTCAATCTCAAACTCCTGAGGCAGAAACAATACAGAAGAACTACATTATCCAGAATATATGTATATATATATATATACAACAAATATACAGTATATAACAAATATATGCATACAGTAGCTAAAACATCTTTTTGGGAAAATAAATAAATAATTATAGATACAAAAATAAATAAAAAACTACTGCATGCTACTGAATATTAGTACAATTATTATTAATAATAAAACAACACAGAATGCCAACATTTTGTTAGAAAAACCAAATACAGGGTCACCTTTGAACTCAATTCACCAAACAGTGTAAGGGTACCTCTGACCAGATTTAACACCTGCTATGCCTCATTTCCTTTCCTTTTCTCCCCTTTACTTTGGGGGATGGTAATTGCTTTTAATTAAAATATAAAATATAATTTGTCCAGGAGGACTTCATATTCCACATGGCCTCACTTATGCTGCTCTTAATTAAGAATTAAAGCCTCAAGAGCGTATCGGCAGGCAGGTCTTTTCATATCAGTGGTATATAGACAGGGATGGGCATGTGGGATTACCTCATTCCACTTGGGCTCTGTGGTGTATCTGTACACTCTTGTTTTGGCTTTATTCACAAAGATACTAAAGGAGTCCACCTCTAATGTGCAATACAGATCTGAAGAGAGGAAAAGGAAGAGTTACTGACGCTTTAATGTGGTGCTAGGACAGGCTAAGCAAATGTATACATGAACTTTGATGAGCACAGAGAGAGGAAGAAGGACAAAGACACGTACTTAAGCTCTGTTTAAGTCCAGAGGCAGAATGGACAATTACATTCAGGAATCCATACAGTCCAGTAGGTTCATCCTCTTTAAGTGGAGAAAAAAGTGGAGAGGACTGTTCAATGCATTTTAAATACATAAAAAAGAATACAATAAAAAAAGAAATATTATTTAAACACAATAGAACCATAATAAATAAATAAATAATTGTCTCTGGATTTTTTTCCTGTAATTTAATCAAATTGATTTGGATAAGATATGGTATTATTGGTTATATCAACAGAAAAAATGTCATTCAAGACGTGAGCAAATTTTATAAATATTTTTTATTTATTTACATTTTGCACTGAAGAATCATGCACAACAAATCTAAGAACATTTAAAAACAACACAGCTTTGATTTCATGTAGTCTTTAAGACCTGTGCATCTTTCTTACCATCTTTATTGACAGTGAGGGGTAACTGATGGACCGTCTGGAGTTTGACACAAGAGTTGGTGAGCATCTGAAGCTCCATGGATGTCAGGGTGAAGCTTTTCAAGCCTGGAAAATAAGTAAGCATTCAGTTGAGGGAAAAAAAACTATCACCTATTCAAATCCTGATTTCAGTGACAATGCCACTCACATTTTTTCTGCTGTTCTCGAATCACTTCCTTCCACTCCGCACGCTCATAGTCCGATGAGATCAGAAATATGTAGCTCTGAAATGCATAACCGACACGGACTGTGAGCATGAGAAGGAACATTGAGGAGGAGTTTGACGATGAAAATCAGATACAACAGAAAGGCTGTAAATCACTGGCTCCTACCTTTCCATTGCGGTTGTGCACTCTGAGGGGCATGTTAGGAGAGTTCAGCAGCAGTTGCGATTCCTGTTCTGACAGCTTCTTTTTCAGCCTCTCCATAACCTTTGACCCTTTGTTGGCTCTCTGTTGAGATAGAAGTAAAAGCACTCTTAAAACCTAGTATGCCGTCAACATTTGAATGCATGTATGCGGCCCAAAAAATTCAGTCTAGATAAGCAAGACAACTTCTTACAGTCAAATATTCACTAACATTGAAAGGTTTTGGGGGGGTAAGATTTTTCTAATGTGTTTAAAAGAACCAAGGCTCAATTTATTTGATCAAAAATACAGTAAAAAAAGTAATATTGTGAAATTTTACTACAATTAAAATGTCATTTATTCCTGTGATTTTTCCAAATCTGAATTTTCAGCATCATTACTCCAGTCTTCAGTGTCACATGATCATTCAGAAATCTTTGTAATATGCTGGTTTGATTCTCAAAAAAACTAATTAATATACAGTCAGATCTGTTAAGTCTGAGAAGACTAGCGTAAATGTTTATATTTACTATTTTTCTAATTTCATAAAAACTGATAAAAAATTTGAGCGAAAAGTTGCCTAAAATATCCTGTACCCTCTCTCTCTGGATCTCACTCCTCAGGGATGAGATCTTGATCTTAATAGCATCCAGCTCTTCATCAGGAGCCTGCGGGATAGGCAGGGGCTCTGACTCCTCCGCTGTTTGGAAGGTGAGATCCGAGAAAGGAACATACCACTTAGAGTCATACTGCTGGCTCTTCCTGCAGACAGACAGCATGAGGGGAAGAAGGGGTGATGGGGGAAATAATTTAATATTCAGGCAAAAAAACATCCTAGAATTTGATTGTAGAGCATGGATGATGGTGCAGATTGGGCCCACAAATCTGAAGAGTCAGGATGTTAGGCTCATATTGTGAAAATAACAAGAGTGTCTGACTCAACAACACCTATATGGTAATTGCGAGCTGAATTTCATTAAAAATAGGAAGAGAGTGAGTAGGCAGAATTAGGGAAAGATAGAAATGAATAGAGAAGATGAGAGACAAAGAGATTTTCCTTACCCTCCTATCTGTTTCTTCAATTTGGCACAGAGAAGGAGGTCAGTAAAGAGAAAAACATGGCGTAGTTTCCGGGCCCCTTCCACAAGCTCCACCATAAAGCTGTCCTTTAACAGCTGACGGTTCTGACAAACAGAAAAATAAAATAGGAAAATTTTAATTAAACAAAATAAATACAATGAATTAAATAAAGTGTATATTTATATATATATATATATATATATATATATATATACACACACACACACACACACACAAAGTCGCATGATCCTTCAGACATCCTTCTAAGATGCTGATTTGGTCCTTAAGAAACAGTTCGTATTATTATCAATGTAAAATATATATATATTTTTTTCAATTCTTAATTTTTGTTGTTGTTGTGGAAACTGATACTTTTTATCAGTCATTTTTGATGAACAGTTCAAAAGCACAGCATTTCTATGAATATATTTATTTTTGTAACCATGTAAAAGTCTTCAATGTTACTTTAGAATTGAATCCTTGGTGAATAAAAGTATTCATTTTCTTTCTTACTAACCCCAAATGTTTATATTAGTATGTCAAATATAACAATAGAACAATTCTGACTTATCTGAAGTGCCACTAGGTGGCAGTCCCACCTTATTTTCAAAAACGACATCAACTCCCAGAAAAGAGCAGTGAGCTGGTGTGTTGATGAGTCTTTGTGTTTATGAAATTAGAAAATCGGGAGGACATTTTGAAACAGGTAACTCCAGTCCACAGATCATAAGTTAAGTGATAGTCCGGCAAGCCTAAGCAGTAGTTAATGTGTGAAAACACACACATATACGCATAACACAGCCCCTGGCCACATGTCATGCATCAGTGCTCCCACAACGACACATCACCTCTGCAGTGGGGAAACAAAAGATGATATCACAAGCATCTCATCCAATTGGACGCTCTAACCTGGCTCCACTCACCTCCACATTCCAAAACCACTCATTTTTTGGTGCAACATCACTACTGCCGTTGACTAACCAAAACATATATCACTAGATGCTTGAGTGAATTTCCCAGTGATGTGCTGTCTGCAGCTGGGGACATGGAAGAGACGGAAGAGTCACCACATACTCATTCCAAAACTCCCAGCATGCCAGATATGTAGTACGTCATTGCATTTCAAGAACAAAGTGTAATGGCTTCATTTCAGCTTATGCCACTACCAAAAACATGGCTCCATTTTTAGCACACAGAAATGCAGTGGACAAGATAAGACAGCCTCTTTCCACATCTCTACCAAGAGGAAGAGCAATTACATTGTTTAAACAGTTCAATCAGCGGTTAACGGCGCCTCTTTTTCCTCAGCTCAGCCGTTTTGACAGTAAATCATTTGCGGGGTCCTGTGTAAGTAGTTTGGTTACTGTCTTGAAAAAGGGTAGATGATTCCAGTGAATTCAGAGACTCAAAGAGCTGATTGTGCCCATAAGATCGCACTCAGCAATACTGAAACGGGATCCTGGGAAACACAATGTTCCCAAATGCTCCCACACCACCAAGATTATAATGGTCCTGTTTCAAAGGCGAATCATGCAGTAAGCGCATACCATTGCAAAAGAGGTTGTCCAAAATGTGTTTGCTGAACTCTTCTCAAGAGAAATGCAGGAAAAGCAGGGAGGGCCACATGTTTACAGGAAACAATAGTTTCTGGTCACATCAGTGTGAGTGAGGGACCTTTCAAAGTTCTCACTTTGCACACAAGCCTTTAATCAAAAGGGAGGATGAGGCACATATTTATGATTCTTGTCCCAATGGTAATGCACTCAGCCATCCTGGGGATGGTAGTAGGGAGCATTATTGTTGTGGCATTCTGCAGTCAGATATGTTTTGCATTATGACCACTAAATTGTATAATTGACAGTTTGGCAATAATAGTAATAATAATAATAATAACAATAATAATAATTATTATAAATCAAACAGCATAAAATTATTATTTTTGTTGATTCTTAATCTTGGTCAAATAAAAAAAAACTATTGTTGTTAATATTATTGTTAATATCAATTGTTTTTATTTAGTATTATTTATTTATTTATTTATTATTTGCATAGTGGCAGCCAAAAAATATTATTTTAACCTTAGACTAAAAGATACATTGTACATAAAAATCACTGTACCCCTAGCAGACCAGTGACCAGTTAATTATAATTTATTCATTTATCCATTATACTTTCCAACAAACAACAATGTAATAAAAACATACACCCAACAGTACAGACTAAAACTCTTCTTTCAAAGAGCACCATATTTCTGTGTTTACAGTCTCACTGTAGGCGAAATGCAGAGACAAAAGCCTCTTTTCCTTTCTCTTTCTCCTTCACTCTGCAAGTCACACACACTTGTCCAAAAACAAACAGGCCTGGTATCCTACTTAAATTTCATCTGCAAACACTTGCACTGTAATGCACTCTACACTGTGTGCAAATCTATACCAGTATCGTATCAGTTTAAAGTTAACATGATGTGCTTTTTCCCTCTTTGTAAAAGAGGAGACGCTCAAATGAGCTGTCTCAGCACATCAGATGACATTTTCCAACAGTTCGCCTCCAGTAGAAACATGACAATGGCAATATCTCATAATAATCCACTAAAAACGGACTGAAACCACTGAAAATGAAACATTCAAAATAAAACATTAGCAGTTTGTGGAGCTTAAACAATGTGTATTTGTAAAAACAAAAGACCCTCTGGAGTGCACATTTTTAGCCTTCTTAACATATGCTACTTAATTTTTTTTTAATATGAATATTTCTGTTATTATTATTAGTATTATGAGAATCATTAATAGTGTCACTTAGATTATAAGGAATAAAGCCCCATATTTATGTGCTTAAATCACCTCTCAACAGATTGTTCCCTAAAGGTAAGAAGCAAAACGCTCTTCACATCAGTCTGCGTGTGGTACGTTGACATGCATATGTTTTTGATAGTCTTTTTTGATAGCCCGAGGTCATCTGGTTGTGTATGCACTTTCATTTGATGTGTATCTATTGTACAGGATTTAGCATGTTTGAATTTCTTCTGTGTTTTTGCGTTTAAGTGTCTTTAGTGCATAGTGCATACACTTCATTTGCATATTTAAATTTTTTATGAGTGTGTGTATGTACGCAGTCAGCGATGACACATGTGTGCAGCTACATATAAAAAGCCCATCACACATCGCTGTGCGCTTGTATCGCAGACGCGGAAAGCTGCTTTCTGAAAACGGCAGGTTCATTTGCATTTTAATTAAGTGGCTTTGGCCCAGCTAGTGCAGGCCTCTGGGGCCACCCTGAATCTTTTCTCTCTCTCTCTCTCACCCGCATACCTCCAGTTTCCAGCACGGGTAACACTAGAAGGGCTAGCTAATCAACGCAACCATGACCTGAACAATCATGCTAATGCTTCTAGCTGCCCCCTGATATCAGTTCTGAAGTTACTCTTAAATAATGAGATCATTGTTCAGTGGCATCAACCAAAGAAGTGTGCTTAGGGCACCATACTGTACCTCTCAGCTCAAGCTAGATGCATCTCTAGAATAACTAAATGAAATAAATAAATTAAACAATATAAAGTAATAATGATGTAAAGATTATAGCTGAAAAGAATAAGCCAATAATTATTTTTATGTTATGGCAGGAAACTGATGGCTATACAAACAATAGTATATAAAATATACTATACTATTTTGTCTAAATAAATAAAAAAAACACTAAAAACTAAAATCAATTGTTTAAAATGCTACAAGCAAATGTAGGCATCACAACAATATAAAAAAAAATGGATATTCATTTAGAGATTTTTTAAAGATTACATTTAACAGCGTTAATGAATGATTTGGGTTTTTAAAAAAGCATTAGATGGTAACCTAAATGTGAAAAAAGGGGAGATGAGCAGGTACAATGACATCCATTATACCATTGTCTGTCTGAATACTCGATTCTTAATGGGTGGAAATTCAATCAAAAAATGTAACCTTACCACACTACTTTATCTCTGTCTGATTTAAAGCAGACGCAATGCTAGATCTGCAAGTCAAATAATGGTGGTAGCTGACAAAAATAAATGTCATTTTAACCCTTCCAGTCAAATGTAGCTCTGCAAACATCAATAACAGCTTTAACTTGTCAATGCTGGCAAATGATCATGGTATATGCAGGATAATCCAGGGTTAAAATCCCTAACATATCAGCTGATATATCTCCAATATTGTCTAACATCGATGAATTACAAAAAAATAAAACCTCTAATATTGGCCTATAAACAATATATTGTGCCTTCTTAGTCGCTAACAAAATATTTTTGAGAGCATAGCTATGCAGTTGCTAAGGTGTTCAAAGTAATTTTTATAATGCTGATATATGGTTGGTATGGTAATCAGGGTGCTCGCTAGGTTATCGTCAACAAGACGTGTGATTCAAGTCAGTATCTCAAATACTCATGGTCTATTTAAATCCCTGAAGCATGAGCAATAGTATTAGTGAAGCTAGTCTTAGCTATTAAAGAAAGCATGCTTATTAAATCATCTAGAAGCTATAAAAACAAATGGAAGGTAAACTAAAGCTTGTATTTTCTTCGACTGGACTGAAAGACAATAAGCTCCACAACAACACATTGATTTCCATGAGTTCGTTTCATGCACACACTATCAATATTTGATCAGTTGGTCTGTCCGCACGCGCCCGAGGGAGGAGGTGGGAGCGTTGTAGAAACTCCTCCTCACCGTTTACTCAAAGTGGGTGGTGCCTGCTCCACACAAGATGGCCTGTTATGAATAATCAATGAGTTGCGAGTCAGAGCAAGGTGGCTCATTAAGGCAAATTACAAGCAAGCGCTGCTCACCATCAATCACACAGCAACAATTCATCTGCCACTCTCCTGAGGCCACATTGCTGGAATGAACACTGTGTCTAAAACCAAACATATCTTTAATTCCCAAGATCCTTTCAAGGATGAGTTTCTCTGCTGGGGTCAGGACGGGAATGCGCTTTCTTACCGCCTGTGACATCATCATGACTCAAGAGCATTAGTAAGCAGAAACCGAAGAGGTGATTAAAAATAAATCCTACTAGATCTGAGCACAAACAACTCAAATGCAGCAAAGAATTCAGTAACAAATAGAGGATGTTTTATTTATAGCGTAAAGCCTCTGTGGAGATTGAGAGTATATGTTAGTGTGAAATAAAGAGAAGGCATTGTCGCCCAAGGATAGGTTGTGCAGAGAGCAGAGGGTGGGTTGGCTCTGAGGCCCCGTCCACATTACTGCGTTTTCGTTTAAAAACTGAGACCTTTTGCTACGTTTGCACCTCCCGTCCACACTAAAACGGCCAAAACGGAGAAGTTTAGAAACGCTGCCGATCCGTTTTTCGTTTTGATTCTCCGGAGGGCGTTTTAGTGTAGACGGGTCAAAACGGAGGACTTTAGAAACGATGACGTAGTAGAGGCTCACGCTCGGCTCTATGATTGGGTGTCATCAGTCATGGCGTATATCTTTGCTAGCAGCTGTTGTACAAGTAAATTCTGCATTTTACAACGCTATAACTGCCTACATGCGCCGGAAAGTCAAGCTATTATTCGAGCGATCTGTGACAATTCCCGTGTGCAGCGGCGGCGTTGACCGTACATGGAGCGTCGGTTTGGGGTTAACCCAGAGCATGGTGGGATAATTTTATCAATGAAGTTGTGTTTACACCGGCACGCGCATGCCCAGTGTTGGTGAATGGTCACGTGATCCGCGTTTTCAGTCGTTTTAATGTGGACGGAGATCAATTCTAATACGCAGGTAAAACGCTGGTGTGGATGGAGATCGTATTCGTTTTAATTATCCGTTTCTAAACTAAAACGCACTACTGTGGATGGGGCCTGAGATGGATGGAAATGACTAGTCTGTATATCTTGATGGGAGTTCATTGGCTGAATGGCTTCAGGGCACCTGCAACTATATGCGACCTGGAATTTTGACATTTCTTTGCCCTTTAAAAATACGTTTTTGACAAATACACTCTATCGTAAACAAGATGGAGGACGTATGAGAGCGAGGGAGAAGGGTAAGATGAAAGGAAGGAGGGGTTTCTGCACTCACCTCTCCCTTCTTCACTGTCATGGACTGGCGGCGAGGTGTGCTTTCTTCGTTAATGCTGGACAGGAAGTTCTGTGAGATGCGGAGGGCGTCCTGAAGGAGGGGGTAATCTGGGTGACTGGAGGGTGTGTGTTTCAGAAGATCCTGTATAAAATACACACAAACATCAAACCAAAATATATTTAATTAATGATTTAATTAATTCTATATAAAAAAAAATAATAAAAAAAAGGCTGTCCATGCAAAACGAAAAATATACCAACACGGTGCACTCGTATTGCTATGAATAGGAAAAATTCCAAATTGCAATATGGTGACTACAGGGCACCTTACACAGTGTGTACACTAGACGCAAGACAAAGCAACCGTTGCAAATCCATTTGTGTGAGAAGCGCAAACACTTGAAGTACATCAGAAATAGAACGGGGCATCAGTATTTGTGGTGTCATGTTACACTGCATCAAGTGTAGACAGCATCAATGATTATAATAGGTTCTGTCTACTTCTGTTGCATAGAGCCGCTCGCGTCTGGTGTAGACACGGGGTTAGTCCCACCTTCTAAATAAAAGAGTCAATCACCAATTGGTAAAGTTATTGCATCACTGCAGCGGTTGTTGAGAACTACACATTCGCATGCTTTTTTAAACACCCTTTGAGAGTAAGAAACAACTTTTATGAGACCATTGATGTCAGATTTTATGGCTGATTTGAAATGTTATTTAAATGTGAGTTTGGCCAGCAGTTTTTGAGATTTCAGTATTTCCCCATTCAAATAGATAGGAGTTGGTCTTGCATGCCACAAGTTGGTATTGCCACAAATATGTCCGCAGAAGAGCGTTTCTCTCTCCACTTTTGAACTCCACATTTCTATAACTTTTGAAGTGATATATCAATGTACACTTGTCTCCTATGTTGTTTGCAGTATCCGTCGGACTTCACATTTACACTCCCTGCGATTTAGAATCTCACTTAAGATGGCCGAATACCCTGGGAAGTGAACTTCACAAAGCACTATCTGGCAAATGGAATGTTCTCTAAATATGAGCAATAGTAAAAATTATAAACACTACACATTTAAGCAATGCTTAAAAAAATATTATGATAAATTAAGGTTGACTCACATGTAAAACAAGCGTGCTCCGTGTCACTCTGTCCACTGGTTTATAGAGCAGAGCTGGCAGAAACAAGACAGAAGGGAACACACACAGTGGGTGATTATTCACAAGAGCCACTTTCATACTGCAGGCTCAAATGCCAATGTTTGAAACCTTATCTAATCCACCCACTCCACCCACTCATTCGGTTTTATGCAACTGATTTTAAAAGAAGGAAATATATTACATGCTGGGAGCAAAATGTGCAACACTTAAACTCAATGAAAATACCACAGATAATATAATGATCATTTAAATGTAACGATATACATGAAAACAATGAATGCAATCTTGTTGTATCTTACTTTCCAGTGAGTATTTGGCTGTCAGGTCCTTGCACTCCTTGGTGCTCCTGACCTTGAGACTCTGCAGAGATATAAGAGACAAACTCAGGATCAATAAACCTGTGAAGTGCACACCATCACACAGCCCTGGTAACTCTAATCTAAAAAAAGAACATCAGATTACTATTACAGAACCACCATTTCACATATTATAGCAGATATTCTCCTAACAAACGGTGTTCATTGGCTCTCAGCTCATTTCACAGTCATGAACAAAGTAATGGTTAATTTGGCATCACTAGCCAGCTGTTTTGCCAACCTCAGAGCTTATTAGCGTTGCACACAATAGTCTAAACATTAAATGTAAAAACAAACAAAGCTTGCTGTTACATGCTTGAGAGTGTACTTGTTCTATTACTGTGTATATTCAACTCTCTCTCCTCCCTTTGCTGTATTTCGAAAGAATCCCTTTCGGGAGAGACTAAATGAATAAATTAGCCTGTCACATTTGATCTATACATTTGCTGTAAGTAAATGTTTCCTATTGCAAGCTTTACACTGGCGGCAATACACTCTAGAACCCACTAGAAATTGTCCATTAAAAAAATACAAGTGCGAACAAACAATTATCCTAATGCTTGCTTTCGGTCATGTTAGAAGGGAGAAAAATCCAAAGTGTAAAAGGAAGTAGTAGTTGGCATGACAACAGCTGGTAGGGGAAATAAAGTGGGACGAGGTGAGCATCATCATGTAGATTTTATTCTAGACACCCTCTCTTCATAACATTTACCAAGACATAAAATCTCCCACTGAACTCTGAAGAGGGTTGAGCACCGCTTTTAGATCTGCTATGCTGGTTGATAATGGTCTCTCTTTTTAATCATTCACTCTGATTGACCCCATGGAGGAGTGCAGCAGGTAAAGCCCTGCATAAACAATGGAAATTACTTGTTCTTTGATGGCAGGATGCATCAAGTACACAGTAGATCTGATTGGAGGTTGTTGAGGCTACAATTCCACTTTCTTGTTTTCTAACTTGCATATATATGTATATATCAAATTTGTGTCACAATATCAAATGTCAGCTTGCATTATGTATTAACAGTTAAAGTATTAACAGACTAAATGAGTTTTAATGAGTTTTAAGTCATTTATTAAAAATAAATTGTAAATGTTGTGTTAGATTAAACTGGGAAGGGTCATAGCACTTGCATATTGTTGTCCTATTGTTAGTTTAACTGCTTCTATTGTTCTCATTTGTAAGTCGCTTTGGATAAAAGTGTCTGCTAAATGAATAAATGTAAATGTAAAGAGTTTTAAAAAAAAATGTACACGTCAAAACAAATTTTAAAAATTAAAAAAGAATGTATGAATTGTTCACAAAGATATCTGTGGATAATTAGTTTATAAACTTGAAGCATAAGTGCATAATTGTTTTTGCTCTGGTATCAAAATCATTAAATTTCACTGGTATTGGTAGCAACTAATATTTTCACTAGCCTGGGTTGTTACAGGATGCTATTGCTTCTAACCAATCAGAAGCTTGTGTTTGTTTGCTTTGGTAAGAAATAAGCTGGGGATTTTGGGTAGAGGTATCTGTTCCAGTATTAAAATAAAAAAGACCTTGAGCAATCCAGTAGGCATTACCTCAGAGATCTCTGCGAACTGTGTGTTCGCTTGACAGCACTTCTCCGCGGTCTCCACTGCGAGTTCGTAATTATCCACAAAGGCCCTGTACAATCCAAGCTGGCTAGCCTGCAGGAAGAGAAAATAAAGTGAGTCATTCCTACTCATGCATCCTTTTGTCTTTGTTGCCCATGTATGGTGGACTTTAAAACAGTAGGGTGTAAACTGTGGATATTTATGAGTACATCCAAGATGGCAGTTCCCGCTCCTGGCTAACACTGACACTATCATTAATGAGTGAGATGCACGCATGGACTCGCCATGGTGACATGGGACGGACAGCCGGGACAGTGTCTTCGCTGCAGGAGCAGCTGGGCCATTGCTGTGCGTGGCTATAGAGCCTACAGTGGTTTCCATGGCAGCAGAGGCCAACTCTTCAGTGAGCAATTAATGCATGTGGCTGGCGCTTGTAAAAAGCACATTTGGAAATCTGATTTAGCCCATCCAAACTCAATAGCCTTCCTGCCAGTGCTGGAAACCTCTTTACAGATCAATCAATCTCTCAGAAGACAAATACTGTAAACATTAGATGATAAAGAGTTTGTGTGGGTGTATTTGCGTGATAATAAACAAGCTGGAGCAGAGCCAACTAAAACAATATTTGTCTGTCTGTACTGACTATGTGGATTTGGACAGTTTACAAAACTGTAAAATATGTTTCTGATTTCTTTACACAGTCCTAATCTGTAGTCATTTAGCTTTACACTTAAATTTTCCACTCTTTTGGGCCCTTGGGCAGTATGTTTTTGTTACTGTACCTTTAAAGGATAGTTCACCAAAAGATGACAATTCTATCCTTATTTACTCTCATCTCACACCATACATACATCAAGCCCAGTTCACACTGCACTGACAGACGCCGACCAACGAGGCCAATCACCAGATTACAGTACTTCACTTCTCAGACACGAAAAATGAGAGCAGACCAAAAACAGATGATGAGGAACAAACTGATCAGACAAAACCCGGCAAAGAGTCTGTTGCTGTTGCTTGGTGTCAGTCGGAGCAATGTGAATTGGCCTTTACTTTATTTTTTCTGTTAAACATAAAACATGATATTTTGATGATAGTTGGTTGGTTAACAAACAGTTCTGGTGACTACTGACTTCCACTGAAAAAAAAGAAAAGAAGAAAAAAACACAGAAATGAGCCATTTCTCAAAATCATTTCTTCCCAAAGAAGAAATAAGTCGTACAGGTTTGGAACTACATGAGGGTGAGCATTCATTTTTGGGTGACCCATCCCTGAACCATCCAACAACTGTTGGACAGGAACGAAAGATAAATTGGTATGACCCCATTGGTACACGTCCAGGCTTGGTGGTACGTCCGTGAATCTTTTATTCTGCACTGGCCAAAGAGTCCATAAGTGAAGTCATTTTCTCAGTGTGTGCAATCCTCTCCATGCTGAGCAGAAACAGCCGCCTTGGGCCAGAATCTATCTGCAGCGTGGAGGATGGGAATTTACTCTGCGACAACCTCATTACAGCGTGGAGAGAGATGATGACCGTAATAAAGCAACGACAACACATGCCGGGCCGAGTCAAACCGTGGCTGAGCGCTGTGAGAAGATGGGTTAAGCTGGAGTAAGAAACTGGAATGTAAATTTAGCAATGTAAACAGACATGATGAAGCAACTTCAATCAAATGCATTTAAAACATACAAAACCAACTAATCTAAGAGACCATAATCAGAGGAGACATCATATTATATTTATATTATATTTAAAGGGGTACAAATTGTTCAGGTTGTCAATGTTGTGTACTATGTGTGAATCATTAAGGCAAGAAAACAGAGAAAAAAACTTAGTGGAAGAAACTCAATTAGATTTTCAGACAGTAGTATTTTTGTATTTAATGATAAAGATGGGGTGTTAGACACTCCAGTCTGCAGGAAATACCGATCACCAGTACATTCTTTTTGTACGCTGGTTATGGTTTTAAACTCACTCTCCATGTCCCTACAGTCATATTCTGCGTGTGATTCATTGACTAAAAAGTTGTATGTAGTTTAATATTGTTATTGTGAATTCTTTTGGCCATGATAATTATGTGAAAATCTGATAACATGACACCCCAATCCACCATCAAAAATAAAAACTATAATTTACTCAACTCGAAGGTTGAGATGCATCTAAACATGACAGAAATGTAAAAGTTGATACGTCAGCTGGTTGAGACAGCTTGTCAGAGGCTTCAGCACAGCAGTGTTCACATCCTCTCAGCCTCGACACACTTCCTCATGATGACATGACCATATGCCAGGCCCAGCTGAAGATGAAAGTATGTTCCTCTGCACTTAACAATGTTTAAGTAGGTCACAGATCTGCATTAAAAAAACGTGAATTTCAGAATCTCGGGAATATTTAGCATCTTTCTCACAGTTGAGCAGGACAAACGTCACCTTTGACTTTCTTCATGATTTGCGCTGCGTTTACTTACTAAACATGAGCTGTCTGGAAGGAAGGAACAACACAAACAGCAGGAGACATTTCTACCACTGACTGACTATATCTTTCTCGTTCATACATCTTGTTCTCTCTCCTGCTGCGAGCAACTGTCTTTTTAGGGAGCTGCCTCCTCAAGCGCTGCCTCGCCTCCTGCCTCCGGATTCTCGCTAATGGATGTGGGAGAGGGCGAGGGGATCAGTGACAAATAGCCTCCGGTCAAAATGACAGACTAACTGACTGTCTGAGGAAAACCCAACACCTTCTGGGAGAAAACACAACTTGCTGACTATAGCTTTCGATTATTGAATGTGGGACAGTGAAAGTGGGGAACAATGAAGGGGAAAATGGAAAGATAAATAAATGTAGAATAAGACTCCCGCGCACACTGTGTGGACAGAGAGAGGGGGGATTTATCTGCCCCCCCCCTTCCCCCCTCTTACAGCAGAGTCACGTGAGGAAAGAACTTAATGGAAAAGAGCTGGGTGGGGGGGGGGGGGAGGTGTGGAAGAGATAGAGAACACAATCTTCGAATGGCACTATTAATAGCCCTCTCCTCGAGACACAAAGCACACACTGTAGTATCTGCCCAAGTGGCTGGGTGAAAAAAGACAGCATTGAGATGTGTTTTTCAACATTACACAGGCTCCAGCAGTCCAGACATTGTGCGACTGTGCGGTGTTGATCTAGGGCCATAAATGATTCATTTAGGTTTCCTTGATTTGGAGATAAATGTTAATTTTTATTCAGCCTCATGGCGCACAAAAGAGACTGGACAGCTGAGGAGATTCCACTATGATAAGAATAAAATTTGACTCTTGCTTCTAACATGAACAATTACATCACATGAAGGAAAGCAGATTCTGATAATTTATAGATTTAAAAAGGACATGAAATTCTGTTTGCTGTTGACTTAAAATACTTCAGAGTAAACAGGATATATTCTAGAAAAAAAGGAGGACAAGATTGTATCTATGAAGATCTTATTGGATCAAAAACAATTTTCCAAACCAAAATGGAGTCAGGTGATTTGATAGTAAGACAAGAATTTGGTGATGTCAGAGAATGAGAAAATGTATTACATAAGATGACACAAAATTTCACAATTACTAAATTGGGTTAATTTGAATTTAATAGCTGTTTAGAAAATGTTACTCACTTGTTTTTGGAAAAGGTCTCCCACGCGTTGGTGGTGACTCCACTGCTGCACTCTGGGTAAAAGGCTATCATAGAATTCTTTGTGGATCTCATAAAGCTCAGGCACTTTGAAGAAGATGGTTTCGATCTGTTGAACAGTCAGGACAGGCTGAGAGGTGGTGGCTGCTGCTTTCAGGGGCTTCATGGGCTGACAAAGGAGCAGGAATAGACATTTGGACATGTCAACATGTTTTAGAAAGTCTGCTTATCACTAAAGAAAGACAAGGTATGAACAAACTCAATTTGCAGTGCAACTGAGAAAGACCCAATGGTATGTGTTTTTAACAATATAATCAAGCATACGCTACTGTTTAAAAGTGTGGGGTTGGTAATAGTTTGTCGTTTTTGAAAGAAGTCTCTTATGTTCTCCAAGTCTGCATTCATTTGCAAGGGGTTATCCTCTAATAAAATGAAATGAAAATGAAATGAAAGATATTTATGACATTTTAAGATATATTCAAGATATAATATATTTTTAATACGTAATATTGTGAGATTTTTATTTTTTTACAATTTAATAACTTTTCAGTTGGAAACCATAAAGATTATTTGATGAATAGAAAGTTTGAAATATAAATCTTTTGTACGTTATAAATGCCTTTACACTAACTATCAATTTAATGTCTTCTTTTTCAAATAAAATCTTAGTGGTAGTGTAAAAACAAAGTATGTTTAATGTATGACTATGTACTGAATCACAGTTTTAGAGTGCATTTAGCTTAAATTAGCACTGCTAATGTACAGCATCCCATACACTTGCATTTAAATGCATGACATTCCTGTTGCAGATGATGGATAGGCCATTTTGTAATGGACTTTAAGCTCTGTGGCATAATCACTCAACCAACCCATACATCTCACTAGTAAGGCTCCTTACAACACACCTTGTGCAAATTCAATCGCACACTGTTGTCAGATTCAAACTTGAATCTCTCTCACCAGTAACAGCGCCTCCAGATGGCTGAGGTAGGTCTCTTCACTGGCCAGGATTCCAGACAACACCCTTTTCCTCATCTCCAATCCCTTCTCTAGGTCCAACTCCGCCTGCATTAACAGAAAAAGAACTCACTCACACGTTTCTGAACAACACACTCTTAAATCACATGACATTAAATTACATACTGGCATTGCTGGAATGAGCTATAAAAAAGTGATTTGGCACTGGTTCAATGGAGCTGCTCCCTGGTCTTACAATAACTGTCTTGGCTACAGGAGAATCATGGGCTACATGAGAATCATAACACCTTTGAACTGAATAAGGCCTTTAATTGCTAACCACCAAGCTCTGAGAAAAGCATCAAAGATACTACAGACCACAAATCCATCAGGAGGCAACATATCTATCTTGTGTCATGTGTGTTGGTTACCGAATGCTGATGACGGCTAAATGGGCCTGAAATGTTGGTTTCCATGGCCACAGCACAGGTAGTGGAAACCACAGATGTTTGTGATAGTCTCATGAGACTTTCTAATCCAGATTTCAGGATAAAACATCCACCTGCATCATGACTGTGTTATCATTGCGGACTCTGCTGGCTTGTATCAAGATTTAAAGCTAAAGTGATGCTAAAATACTTTAACTGCATACATTTCTACTAAATTCACCAACTGATGACAGAGTAAATTCCGCCATTGAAACCTGCAGCAGGGGGAAGGTGGAAATCAAGGTTTTATTCATGAACTCTTGGGTGCGAGACGTCTCACCCCAGGGGGCACCCCTGTATTTCTAGACCACCATCTTTTATTCATCCACACATTTATTAATCAAAGCATGTCAGTGTCTTAGCGCATGACAATGAGTTGAGATCATCTCTACTGCTCAAACAATAACCCTTGCTTATTGAAAACACAAGGATGAAAAAGTATTTCTCATTATACACAAAACAGGCAAAAAATTACAAATAGCTTATAAGAAGAAAAAAAAAAAGACCAGTACATCAATAACAACAAGGAAAATGTAGATACATTTTTTTTTTTTAAATAGCCACATCTAATTAGACAACATTTTAAACATAGGGTATATAATAATGGAGTTAATTTAACCTTGTAAATAACTTTTTACATTAACTTTCCCCATATGTATACTGGAAGCTATTTTCATACGTTATATATCATATTGTACTTTGTAATGCGACCTAATAAAAAACTGAAATGTGACATTATGAGGCCAACATAAAGAAAAAAGCTTATGGAAAAGGTATAACTTTCAATATACGGTAGTCATTTTCTTGAACATAACAATTTGTTCATATTTGCTCATCCAAATTCAATCTTTTGAGATTGAATCTTTGGGAGTTTGAATAAAGGACACATGACTTTTTTTTGTCATTTTCAGCTCAATTTGAATAGAGTGGCCATCTAAAACAGCTTCAGTGACAGATGATGTAAATTTCTTAAATGTGTAGACACAGAGAAATTGCACTCATTAAAATCTTATCTATTTCTTAAGGCTAAACGAGGGTAAGAAAATGTGCATGAAAAAATGGGTGACCATCCCTCTGTAGTGTAATTTGCAGGTTTATTTGCAGCTCAATTTAAGACGTTTACATAGCAAATCCCTCTTTGAATCATCCATATTTTAAATCCCTGGCTGTGTGTATGTTGGGTAAACACATAGAGCATGTAGGTGTGTTACTGGGGAAGGGTGTACGAGTGTGTGCAGGTGAGCATCTACTCTGTATTGATTAAAACCCATGTGGGAGCTAAACACTGAGGTCATAAGGATCCGAATAAATGCTCGCCTCTGGGCATGGTATTGGCAGGGAGGGAGGGATATCAATCAATTTGACAGCCAATAGCTGTGTCAATGAAGCAAGTAAGCTCTGTTTTACCATCAGTAATTTAATTTGATGGCATGACCACTACGCACGATGAAGACAGTTTCCTGAGGCTCTGAAATGAAAGCTATGATAACTTTAAACCTTGGTTGATACAGCATCTAGAAAGAATTTCTTTAGACCACGCATGACTGCATGAAATGAATGATGTGACATTCTTTTGCACAGTGCCGAGCTATAAAATATTTACTAAGCTAAGATAAGCAGTAAATGTTTAATTAGAATAGTACTATATGCAGACTCAGCACTTCAGAATCTGCAAGCTTTGAAAACTGGCAAATTTCACAGCTCACTGGATTTGTTGTGTACCATTACTATTGAGGCTATAAATACATGTGGGTTTACTGTTACATTTATTTATAATGGACTGCTTCACAGATGGCATACGGGGTGGATTCTTATCATGGAACAATAATAATAATAATACATTTTATTTATAATGCGCTTTTCTAAACCCCAAATAAAGACATCTCTAATGCATACTCTTTACATTTGCATTCCACCAAGAAAGCATTCATCTCTCTATGCCCATCAAAATAATTAGCTACTATTATTACATGGGCATCTGATAAGTCTGACTGGTCATTTGTGGCAATCTGCAGTCAAATATTTTGTATTGTCCCTGGTAAGAATTTCATACATAGCTCAGCCTTATTGCTCTCATAGCAGTCTGTAATAATGAATAAATAAATAATGTAGTTATTCAAATGTCAAAATGTCAAAAAAATCAAAATGTCAGATTTCTCTATGTCTGGCAAGGGGTTTACAGGCAGTGACTTACAGACTTTGAGGACTCGATCGAGCCGGAGGAGAGGGTGTCTCGACTGCTGCGGCTCTTGGAGCTGAGGTGAGGGGAGGAGGACGGGGAGTCGTCGATGTAGGGCAGGATGTCATGGTGTCGCCGCTGCTCCTCCGCTCGGTCTGCGTCGTAACCGTAGGTGGGCGGAGTGCCTGTAAATGGAACATCTGTGACAAAACGGAAGGGAAAAAAAGAGGGATATAGTTCACAAAACCATGTACAAGAGCAGCATTCTATTATTTATGGTAAGTAAAATATCTTTTGAACACTTCTTACTAGCATGTACTGCACAGAAATAAAGCAACTGATTGGTAAAGAACAGTAAAACTAATATTACAGTTTATGCCCCATCTCTTAATGTCATCAGCTAAGAGAGTCAGTTTCATATTCTCAGTGTTCAATTGATTCAGTTTCAGTGGCAGTCTAACATTAGCCTAGAGATCTTAAAGAGCAATGAGATTATGTCTGGAGTGGGTTTTAAGTTTTTGAATTAATGCAGACAAGCCAGAACTTTCGATATACTATAAGATCACTTTTGGGTTAAAGAGTTTCTCCCAGCGGAGGACGAGATATAAACGAAGACAAACGCATATGTAGAACAACAGCCCAAGTTCTCTATTCCCAGACTGGTTTGGCCATTAAGCTGCTGGCAGCCACACTGGAGGATCTCATATTTATTCAACACAAAGCTCTCAGTTAAAACTAACTGTTTTGCCCTCGTATAAGACAAGCACATCTGCTACCCCCTGAGAGAAATATGCAGGACATTAAGTCCTTCAGAAAGGTGACACCAAAAACGCTCGACTCAGTGCCAGCTTTAAAGGACTGACAGACACAGTGAACTGTCAATTTAAAGTCATTGCTGATGAAACTCCTTTTTTGGGGGAGTTTTCTGTTGGCAGGTGCACGGGAAAACTCAAACTGCAATTTTCAAACCAAAGAAAAGGCCATGGCAACATAGTGATTTTTCCACCACACAGAGAGAGGATGGGCAATGTGAGTATTTACTTGATGTGGAAAACACACAGTGTTTCGTGAGGTTTACCAATTACACAGCCAACAGAGATGTTGACTTTAACATATAGTATGTATGACTAGCGTGAAAAATTCATGGATCATTTTGGTTACTTTGAAATAAAACTTACTGTAGAGTCACTTAGTTATTTTAAAAAATTCTTATTATCAATGTTGAAACCAATTGTGCTGGTTAATATTTTTGTGGAAAGATACTATTTTCCTCAGGATTCAATAATGAATAGATGAATACTTCAAAAGAATAGCATTTAGTTAGAATATGATTAAATATCAAATTATCGATGAATCATAATGTGTGTGAAAATATTCAGAAACAGGTTTTAAGCATAAATATGGCAGTATGAGACCCATTGCATAAAGCCAGATGAGAATAAAACAGCTTTAGCTGACTGAGTCACGCAGCCTTGTCATTGCCTTAGCGTTCATCCTCGCACTCCTGCCTCTGTCATCTCCCTCTCTCTCTCTTTCCTTCACTCTTTCTCTCATCCTTTCCTATAGCTTCCCACAGATGTCTGCTGCTCTTTAGCCAAAGGAGCAGCAAGCCATGCACATCTGGAAACATCATCAACATTATAAACAATTCTTAAAATCAGACGGCACTTCCAACTCTCTGTGAAGTCTAGACACACGCTTGTACAGTAACAACAACAAATTCCATATAAATTCTGGACAGTCCCAGACATAACCTGCAGATGGATTTTTTTTTTTTTGCATTGGCTTGAGGAAAAATCTGCTAGATTTAAAAATGGTAAAATGTGTTAAGAACTGTATAATACTACTGCAATAATATTGCTAGCTGAAAGCATTATAAAATCAACCCCCCCCATACCCCCCCCCCCCCCCCCTAAAAAAAAAAAAAACAAGGACATTTAAATTCTGCCAGAATCTGTGGGCTTGCTCATGGGGAATTAATCCCAGGATCTCTCAGTGCTTGACCTTCTCCGGTGTGTTAACTCAGGGTTATTCTCTGCAGGAATGAAGAGCAGATTGAAACCTACAGCATGATGTCCCTTAGCGGCCAACGGGTTTATGGGAAGTGGGGAAGCCTGGGAGATGAACTGCTGCAAACCTGCCAAAATCTCATCATCATGTGTGCCAAAGAGCATAAGATAATCCTATCATTTGGGCTCAGAAAAAAATAACGAATTTGTGGAAGGAATTGGGGTACTAATGTTTCTATGAGTGCCGACATCTCCTTCAGGGGTCTTTGGATGGAGAGGTGAGGGTAGTGACGGGGGCTGCATCTGCCAGATAAATTAAAGACACGCCTTCCTCCTCCCATGTGTCACATGTTCCATTAAAGTCTGGAAATAAGAGTGCAGAAGAACGTGTATGTGTGGTACATATGAGTGCACAGCCTCTAGGGAGGGACAAAAACTGGGAAAAGAGATGGAAAATGACACATCAGGGATAAAGAAGTCAGTCCATTTTCTTCCACACAGTTGGTTTTCCTAAATATCCAATTTTCTGGCAATTTAATACCCCCCACTCCTAACCATCCTACACACAGAAAATAAATGAATATGAAGAATGGAAAAGGGGAGGTGAAAATTAAACAGAAATGAGTAAAGCACCACCTCGGGCCACGACTGAATCAAATTGGGATTGCACAAAGAAGCTAATTTGATGAGAGGTGTCATTTTAAGGGCATAAAAATAAAATAATACGGTCTGTGTTGGCTGATATTGCTTTTGCAGACTTGTCCACAGAGAGAGAAAAAAATCAATTCAAAAATATAAAACCAAAAAGAAAATGTAGAAAACAATAAAATGACATGTGCATTTGTGAAGTGTTTGGTATTTCAATGTATCAACAACACAGATTAAATTAAAAAATATCTATATAGATTTGAGGTCAACGAGTTCATTACTGTTTTTTAAGTAATGATTAAAATCCGATTATGAATTTAGAGACGTGACTTAACAGAAAGGGTTTTAGCATGCTGACAGTCTACACAGTCAGCCCTCTCCTAGAAGTTTCTAAATTTGTCCCTAAAGCACCATTGCAACAACCATCTAAGCACTGCTTTGATAAAAAAAAAAAAAATCACCACCGTGAACAATAAATGTTAAGAAAATTACTGTCAGACTAACCCTAACCTTTGAATTTGAGGGTCTACATGTCCAATAAAGCCCATTACAGATTATTCCAAAAATGTGCCTCGAGTAAAACAAGGCAATTAGATTATCTGTGTGGTTATCTCTAATCTAAGTGGCATGTTTATCTCCAAAGAAATAAACACAAAAAGTGATTGGGTTGAATCCAGGAAAGCAGCCAAGTCTGGTGTGTTGCGATCGCACAGGGAAGTGTCCTAGTGTGAGTAAATTAGCCTTTGTCCCAGCAAGAGGAAGAGTGAATCACAACACACCAACACACATAGGCAACCCTGCAATCAACAACAAGCTGCCATCTACTACCAAACCCTATCTTTGTTTGCCCTGACCATGTTTAAAAGCATGACAGCAGAATCGGATTAAAATGTGTCCATGATGCGGCCACAAATTCCCCCCTGAGTCCTTCCTCTGCCACAGGTTTATGTGAATGAATGATTTAAACACGGATTTGTCACACTCAAATCAATGTCTTAAATGCATGTTTATGAGTATGTTAGTATGCTATGCACTTTTGTCAATTTTTCCGACAAGCTCAGATCCGTTAAACTTCCTTTTCCAAACAATCAAGTCTTTAAAAGTGATTTGGAAAATATAGTTTTAAATGACAAAAAAAAAAAAAAAAAAAAAAAAATACAAAAGTAGTGCTGTCTGACTGAATTGATGTCTATATTATTGTTAAATTCTAGCAACTATGTCAGTCCTGTCATTTAAAAAAAGAAAAATGTGTGCTATGTTTTCTCGAGAAGAGAGGTGCTGTTGCAGAATAGACTGAGAAAGACTGAAATCTTCATAAATAGTTCCCTGTGATTAAATCATGACTAATTCAGTTAAGTCAGAGGAAATTCCCAGAAGTGTCTGAAAAGCAAGAAAAACAGGCACCGTCTTATCTAGCACCCTTCCCAATGGTAACTCTGTTTACCAATCTGCTTTCATGACAACATTTCATGCCAGTTGAAGAGAAAAGGAAAGTGCTAAACATGAAAAACTAGCATCCGTTTCAAGGAGATGGCTGGCTCGGCAGGGAACCTGGACGATAACAACTGTGATTATGTCACAGTTGATTTCAGCTTTACACAATATGCACTGATGTCAGACTCACCAACTCCACATGGTTCATATCCCCCCAGGACCGCATGGCAGAAAAGAGGGTGGCCCAGCGAGATGACTTCCTGCCAACTGTTTGATCACTGTAGACGGCGGAGCATACTTGTCTCAGCACTCTTCTAATGACACCATTAATTATCAAGTCATGTCATCTGCATGACTGATATTTTGCAATTTGTTACGAATTCGACAACCATTAAAATCTTCGAGTCAAGTGGGCAATTACGCAGTCAGGCCTAATTGAAGAGCGTGACCAAAAAGGGCTGGTATACATTACATAAATGATCTAATCACAATATTTGTTCAGAATGTTACCAAATCAGACATAACATACTAGATTTGTACATTTTCTGATTGATTCAGTTAAAAGAACCAGTTTAAAAGAGACTAGTCACACTGTATGTCATTGATTCACTAAACAGAAACAGTTCATTAGAATTAATTGTTTGTGAATCTGATTACCTGCATGTTACTGAAACACTAAAAAGTGCAGGTTCACAAGAGTCATTTGTCTTCGAAAAAGGCTTCACTTGTTGCACTGCATGTTTCTGATTTACTAAACAGAACTGGTTCAGAAGAGTCACTAGTTCATGATTTGGATTACAGTAGTTGTGGTGTATGTTTTTGAGTCAAAGACAACAGGTTAAGAGACATTTGTCTGTTAATCAGCTGACACTGATTACGCTGTATTACTGATCATCACTGATTACGTGTTACTGATTCACTAAAAATAACTTATTCATAGTCATTGTTTGTGACTTGGGTTACACTGGTTGTGCTGTATGTTTTTGAATCATTAAAAGGAACCACTCAACAACAACAGTCATTTGTTCATGAATCTGACTGCACTTGTTCGGCTGTATGTTTTTTAATCATGCGAGTCATTTGTTTCTTTAATCGGACTACACTGTAAT